TGTGACACTGTCAACTGGAGGCAGCAATGAAACACTTTTAAGTTTGATATTAGTTGCTCTACCTTTAACTCATATTTTTCTCCGCGTCCTCTCTATCCTTCTCTCTACTTTTCTTACCCTCTTGTAATCCATCTGTTGTAAATTTTTACTGTACTGTATGCCCCAAGTCATCACAGCAATAAAAACAGCAATAATATTTGAAATCTCCTATTTAATGTTGACAGACTAATGTGCAGATAAGTGCATGGGTGTAGGGTACGTTTTGGGGACTTTTTTTGTTTTTTTTTTTTTTTTGCACAGACTGAGGATTGTGGAGTTGTTCCCACATTAAGTGGCATTGCACTATAGGATAGAAAACTGAGTTGATCATCGTCCAGTATGGCTACATCCACACTATCATTCTTTCATTTCAAAAAGAAAAGATCTCTGTTCCAGACAAGCATTGTAGCTCCGTATCAGTATATAATCTCTGTCCATATTGACACAAGCTGAAAATGCACCATCAACATCATTCACATGCAGTAGCATGGCGTGCCTGTGTGTAAATAAGAAGCACAGATCTACTACTGCAAAGAGGACTAGGAGACGAAAAGCCATTAGGTTATGTGGGTGGGTAGCCCAATTTTAAAAAGTTTTTTTTTATCCATGCTTTCCGTTGGATTATTAAATACCAGGTGTGTTGAGATTCGCAGGACATGTTATCAGTGACGATGTAAACGTTTATGACAGATGTGCATTAAATCGAAGGCTCCTCAGCGCATGCCCTCATGGCTATAGCAAACACAGACAAAGATATGACAACAAGATCTCTGTTTCACCAGTGGCCAAAGTCAGCATGTCTGGTCAGAAATTAAAGGTCGACAAAAGATTTTCAGGGGGCATTAGGTTACCCTTGAAGCACAAGAATGACTGCTGACTTTTTAATGACCAGTTGATTTTGCTGAGGTTAACTGCTGTTGCATCTGGTGATATTTGGTTGACGCTTTGCCCTGAACCATACATTTATTTCTGCTAGATGTAGAAGGCAAGATAGAGATGCATGTATATGGAAATGCAACCCACCTAGGTATAAAATACAGAGAAAATATTCAACATTATTACTGACCATTTTTACAAAACACAAAATAAGCCTTCAGACAGATTCCCATTTATTTCACTACACAATGAAAATCAAAATGCTGATAGCCATTCCTGTTGTGCAGCTGCATTGAGTTAAGAAACAACCACACAACCATTCTCAACAGTCTTTTGGGTTTGGCTTTACGACAAGAACACAACTCATGAATGCAGCTCTTCATTAGTGGAAGGACGTGAAAATGATCGTCTCTCAGAAAGAAAATGGACAGAATTTTCACTGTATTACAGGAGCTGTTTGTAAGTTTTGCTAATGCTACATAAACGACGTTAGCATTAACAGGTTTTTACTTACCAGTGTAGAAGAAACGTTACGAGTTCAGCATCAAACTCAATTCCTACTCACCAAGAGCTGTCTACAGTGGTGGAAAACTTTGATTTATAGGCTATCACTTCTTTTTTTCTACTGAAGTAAGCATGCTAACCAGCTAGCCATGCACCGTCTCGTCACTTTCCAGTACCAAGTCGCTGTAGCGTCCAATCTGCCCAGAAGATGGTGTACTGCTCAGAGGGTCTATCATAGCCTCTAGCCTTGTAATTGCAACAATGGTTAAAGCTCCTGACAAAGTAAGTAAACAGCTGTTAATGCTAACGTTTGCTATGTAGCAATAGCAAAACTTAGAAATAGCTCCTTTGACCTACCTATCTAATGCAAGTTGTTGCAGTGTGTACTAAATATCATAAACAATAGCTAATGTATTCATTAAAAACTGGTCTTAACAAGATAAAATATATTTGATTTCAGCATTAAAGTTCATTCTTGATTTCAAAAATGATCTTCCTCAGCAGATGTTCTGGTAAAGGCTGGTTAGTGCACCTGTGTTAAGATTATTTATATATTCATTCTCTATTTAATGATGGATATAAAATGCACCGGCTATGCACAGCCAACAGAAAGGCCCGCGAGGACCAGCACTTCAGTTTCCTGGTGATAGGTGTGATAATAATAAGTTCCCGAAGCCCTCAGGTACGATACATAAGTCAGAGGTCAGTGCAATAAATGAAAAAAACGCTGAGCTGTGTGTTATTTAAAGCTGACTCATTAGTGTTGCCCACACACAGCGTTGGAGCCTCATCAGCAGCATGCCTTCTGTCAGCACTCACCTATAATGCTTTACATGCGTGTGGCATCCCTGCAGGTGGTAATGAACAATCAGCGGAAGATCATCTGGCCCGGAGGAGAGACTGAGAAACCGCAGGGCTTCCAGATGTCGACTCGATTAAAGGTAGTGTGCCTTCACTTGGCTGCTGCAATGTGACATTCATGTCTACACAGATGGAGTGCGGGACCTGCGCTGATATACTTTTGTTGGACAGTGCGTTAACGTTTGTTTCTCAGAGAGTGAAGTTGATCTATGTTCACAAAGGCAGCAGTGATGTATTCGCTATGATTTTTATCTCTTCAAATTTCTCGTGGGCCTGCAAAGAACCTCTCATCTGTATCCTTGTCAGTTATTTTTACATTCATCTGTTTGTCCTCGTGTTGTCCGTGAGCATCTGGGAGTTTGTACATGGGCATTTGTGAATCTGCTGGGATTTTTCCAAGTATTTTTGTCCCTCTCGCTGTGGCGCTTCTGAAGTCCCTCGGGATCGATCTGATCCAGCTCTAACTATGTGATAAACAGCTTTCTGTCCCATCTGTTGTAGATAGTGACGATACACCAGGAGCCATTTGTGTATGTGAAACCCACTATGCCGGATGGAACATGCAAGGAGGAAATGACATTAAATGGAGTCTTAATTAAAAAGGTTATCTGCACTGGGCCCAATGAGACCATCCCAGGTAACACATCAGGGACGTTTATATTATCACTGTGCTTTTACTGCACTCGCCAAACACCCACTGGAGATGCATACATATATATGCAGTAGGTATCTATATATGTATGCATGTATCTGAGTGTGCCATTCAGAATGAGTGACTGCTGGGATGCTGGGACATGCTTTGTCTGTATGCTGTGTGCAGCGTGACTGTGTGTGGTTGTCTGCAGTGCACTGTGTCGCGTACTTTGTTCAGTCTACGTGCGCCGCCTCTGGATTAAAAAAAGACAAACACACAGACATGTTTACTCTGGAGTGATTGTAACTTGCAAACATTGCTGGTTTTGTTACAGGTCGCCCAATTGTTCCCCAGTGTTGTTATGGATTCTGTATTGATCTCCTGATCAAGTTGGCTATGACCATGAACTTTACCTATGAGGTGCACCTGGTGGCTGACGGGAAATTCGGAACTCAGGAGCGGGTCAGTATTTGTCATATTTTTCATGAGGCACAATACTTAACACATTTTTTTTTAATGTTTATTTTCATTTTATCTGACTCCACTAAAACTTTTGATTTCACTGACTATTCTGACGCAAAGTCATAGAGCAGAGATCCATGGACGTCAGACGTCCAGAGGGTGAATTTGCCCATCGTCCCAGTTTTTGAACATCTTTACTGAGGGATTAGGCGAGCAGCAACCACCATGTCTGAGTACTGTTTTCAATTTGGAAGTGCTAATTAGTTTTATTATGAAAGGAAGATAACATCACATGAAACCCACTTGAAAATCTACCAGAGAAAGAAGGACAACGTTCCCTTAGCAGAGTAAAATTATAGTAAACAAGCACAAAACTTTTTTTCTTCATCAGTGATGGAGTTTTAATCATTACCAAGATCTCAACTTCTTCTGACTTACCTCAAGCAAGTTTCTGATTGTGAACCAGGAAAAAGATTAAATGAAAGATTTGCTTTGATTAAAAATGTAGTTACCTCGTATAACCAAGATTACTAGGTTGCCTAGCAGGCACTAGTCAAAAGTGAAAACATTGTTAAATAATAATATGGCTTAAATAAGATGGAAGAGGGATAACATAATAATCTACTTTAAAAAGCAGCCTCGCCTTATGTACAACAGACATTTAAGAAACTCAGCAAGTTTTGTCTCCTTTTATCACAATGAAACAATCACATTCTAATTTATTTGCCACCAGCTGCTGTGGTCCTTGGATAAAAAGGTCAGCGTGCTGTTGTGGTTAACAAGTGATTTATAGTCTCAGAGACTTAGACTCCACTTTTCTATCCTGTCTTCAAAAGAACATCACAGAAGACAACCGCCAAGTCTCTCATTAAGTGAAGAAATTGAATTATACCTACTTTGGGCTTCAGTCAAGGTGAAAACAAACACAAGATTCTACAGTTCCTGACAACATGTGAACTTTGCCTCTTGGTTTTTGTTTTAATTTCCTTTCCACTATCTGAATGTCATGTCCTACCACACCATCCTGAACAAACCTCTGCAAAACCCTTTGATTTTAATATATCAGGAGCTAGCTGTCCAGTTTACTTTTACTGTATCACTCCCTTAACTGTTTAATGATTAATGAAAATGGGAAAACACAAATCATTTATATACCAAAACTCATCATTATAAGAACATTATACACATCATTTACATAAGAAAACATATCTTGTCATGTCAGGGCTAATTCATTTTCACCAACCCTCTGAAAAAAAATTTGTCTTGGTCAAATAGGACACATGCAATCATATAAAAAATCATAACTATATTTAACCTAACCTTGCATTGCTGAAGTGGGACACCTTCATGAATTTATAGAGCTTTGAATGTCTCTCATGTTCCTGTGCTAAACCTCTAAATGTTACATTAAAGTTTGACCTGCTGACACTGCCCTTTATTCACAAAAGATAGCATTATCCTCTCAACCGTTTGCTATCCTAGCTACATTATATATTCACAAGACAGTAACTTTTAGCTAACAGTTTGCTAGCATAGATATATACATGTAGATACCTCCTTAGCTGCTGCTGTTTATTGCAGCAATGGAGTGCTGCAGGAATGAGTATAATGACTGTATGACCAATGACTGTATTGGTCACCTGAATAGAAGTTAGCATTTTTGCACCTCCGGTTCCCTCGTCCTGAAGTCGATGAATTTTATTCTAGAAGATAAGATGTGTCAGTAAATATCCCACTTCTGATTTTTTTAAGCATTAATGCAATTGCTAACAAGTGGCTAAACTATACTACAGAGGTTGTAGGGGAGCTTGTTGTGTCCGTGCTCGTCCACACTTTTACTAACTTTGTAAGAGGAAAGGCTTTTGTAGAACGTTAAATCAAATTACAAGTCGGAAGTTCAGTGGTGGTGACGTTGGAGTCGTGCGACCTTGGTGTAGTTCCTTTATAGTAACATTAGCTCGTACATCTGGCGATTGTATTTAGGCTTCAGAAATCATAAAAGTGGTGTTCATTTGTGAAGATTATCGTGCTGAACAAAATGGTTAAGTATCATAAACTTTTGTTCATCGCAGAGCTTATTTCCAAAAACCAATGTAAAAATCTTGTTGGCTTTTTGTTGAGGGAACCAGGGTGATGCTAACTTCATGGTTGGCCTTAAAAAATACATTGTTCCTGCAGGACTCTATATATGTGTCAATGTGGGCGCCATATTTTTAATAACTTCTTTTGTTTCAGTGTGTTAACAATAAAGCATTATGTACTCAAACCAATTTGCATATAAACTTAAAAATAAAAGCCTGAGGTGTAGCTATGGTTTACGATGGTAACATTAGGTGGCATTATTCAGTTTAGCTAATGGTATAAGATCTCAGTGTGCCAGCGTTATATACAACTGTACACATTGTGTTGGATATACAGAGTAATTACATATCCAAGACATGTTTTAATGCTATGGCCTTATTTGTTCGCAATGCCACTTCCATGTAGCCAGGATGATCTCTTCGTGAGAGCCCTGACCAAAATCGCATGACCGTGTAACACAATCAAAGATGAAATCAACTTTTACTGAAGTAAGACAAGAAATGAAAGGAGGACAAACAGGACGTGATCAGTTTAAAAACTTGCACATCTGAACAGATTTTCTCTGCACAAACATTCATCTCTAACCCAGAAAAAAAAGCCTGTTTTGCAGGCAAATCATGAGCACAGTATTCTGCACTTTTGGTTTTTGTACAGTGCATGATCTTTATAAAGTTCTGCAAATAGCAACCTCTCTGTTATGTAAGACAGAGTTTCAAAGATGTGGAGCACGCTTAGCCCCACTAGGCTTAACCCAAATCCTTAAAGCCTGGAAACATGCGGTGGTCTAGACGACAGCGGGTTGATAGCTGATGCTCATGTTAACACCTTCCTTGTGGGACTCCAGGTGAACAACAGTAACAAGAAAGAGTGGAATGGCATGATGGGAGAGCTCCTGGGGGGCCTGGCTGACATGATTGTAGCCCCGCTGACTATAAACAACGAGCGAGCCCAGTATATCGAGTTCTCCAAACCCTTTAAATATCAAGGCCTCACCATCCTCGTGAAAAAGGTAAGTAGCCTATTTGGTGCTCTATCACGTCAAAACAACCGCTGGGGAGTTACGCGTATTGTCCTGTTGTGTAATCACCTACCCACGGGGGCAGTTTTTATCCCTTCGTCTGCCATATCACAGATCCGCAATACAGACAAGATGTTATTGTGCAGTTTTCAACTGCAAAAACACAAATATTCTACTTATTATTTTACCTTATGTGGACAGCAGTTTGTCACATATGTAAAAGGCAACACAACAATGCATGCATACATTTGATTCATCATTTCAAAATAGTCATCGAGTGGGATGTGAATCTATATGCAGCTACTGTGGTTTCTGCTGTATTGCTACCTCTCTTTAAAGGGTCATACCAGGCTTTTTGCACATTTTAGCCACTTTAACTAATAGACTATAGTGTTTTCCTTTTATATTTGTCTATAACATGCAGTCATAAGGTAATCAAAGTCATTCATTTTCAATCAATAACCGACTGCGCTGTGTGTTTTCAGGAAATTCCTCGCAGTACACTGGACTCGTTCATGCAGCCGTTCCAAAGCACACTGTGGCTGCTGGTGGGTCTATCGGTGCATGTGGTGGCGGTGATGCTTTACCTACTAGACCGGTTCAGGTACAAGGGGGACCTGTGTGTGTGTGTGTGTGTGTGTGTGTGTGTGTGTGTGTGTGTGTGTGTGTGTGTGTGTGCGCGCAAGTGTATTTTGTACATGCACTCCCCTGAGCGCTGCGCATCTTCCCTCAGTGTGGACACGGAGGCAGACAGAGGGGAAGATTGGCCCCAACCATCCCACCGCTCTGTCCCTGTGCCACCGTCTTTGTCTGCTTTCTTTCTGTGGACTTTGTCTCCCTCTTGCTTTGCTTGCTCTTGTTCAGTTCCTTTCCCTGCCTGGGGTTGCCAGGGTTTTTCCCTCCTTCTGGTTCTCAGCCATTTCTCATTTTATCTCCTGCAACCCTCCCAATTTCTCCACTCTAGCCCGTTTGGAAGATTTAAAGTAAACAGTGAAGAGGAAGAAGAAGATGCCCTCACCTTATCATCTGCCATGTGGTTCTCCTGGGGAGTGTTGCTGAACTCTGGAATAGGAGAAGGTGAGACACGCCCTATGAGAGAAAATCATTGCAAATCATCCCGTAATGAGCGGTAAATGATCCCTTTTTCCCAGAACACTGTAATGTTGCCGAGTGCTTTGATCTTTACACAGCTTTGCAGTTGTAAAAAGACCAACATCAAGGTTGATTGTGGCTCCAGGTGCTGCCTGATTGTGGAGTTATTCTTTGCGGATGACAAATGAATTCCTTTCAAATCACATTTTGCAATGACAGGCTTTGATGCAGTTCGTCTTTAAACAGTTTATACCTGTTGCCTTTCCTGTTTCGTTTGTCTTCAAGTGTTTCCTTTTCATGTCTGATATTTTTAGTGGGTTATATTTTTGGTAATTTCTTTAGTTTTACAGCTTTTATTCTCATAAAACCACAATACGCTACAAATATGAAAATACAATGACAAAGGTACAGTGATTTAGAGTAGTATTAGCTAAAAATGGCTACAGCTGTGGTTTGCTTTTAGCTAGCCCTTAACCCTTGTGAAGGATTTTCCATCTGTAATTAATTTGATTTCAGTTGGTAATGTGTTCACAGCCCTTTATGGAGGAAGATGATAAGTTCAAGGATGTGTTGTAAAGTCTATGGAGTTTAATTATAATTTACTGCAGTATATGGGTTCATAATCCTTTTTATTATTATTTGCAGAAGTAGTTGTAACAGCAGTAATAACAGAAGTAGCAGAGTTAGGGTTTATCAGTACTGAGTGGTAGAACTGTTAGTTAACAGAAATGGACGTATCCAGCCAACTACTCTACATTCCTAATCTGAGTCAAAATAGAAAAATGACTGAGCTGAAAGGTTAAAACTTGAACTCACCACACAGGTGCGCCGCGCAGCTTCTCAGCGAGAATCCTGGGTATGGTGTGGGCCGGTTTTGCTATGATCATTGTGGCTTCTTACACTGCCAACCTGGCTGCCTTCCTGGTGTTGGACCGGCCTGAGGAGCGCATCACCGGCATCAATGACCCAAGGGTGGGTAGAATGTGGTGTCACCATCATGTTACTGCAAAACAACATTTTTAATTAATGTAGAATTTAAAATTATATAAATGATACATCAAGTTATTAGTAGTTATAAGTATTAACAAACTATCTATACTATACAAACTATACTATATTGTTCTTGTACCTGTGCAGCTGAGAAACCCATCAGACAAGTTCATCTACGCCACGGTGAAGCAGAGCTCCGTGGACATCTACTTTCGGCGGCAGGTGGAGCTTAGCACCATGTACCGCCACATGGAGAAGCACAACTATGAGAGTGCCGCCGAGGCCATCCAGGCCGTGCGTGACAAGTGAGTCTCGGCCAGGCCGGGCCGACCAGAGCACGTGTCGGCCGGCTGCTCAACCTATCAGGCACACAGACCAGGGCCAGCTCCAGTCAGCTCAGGGGGGGGGACATGGACCTCCGGACCAGGCGGAAGCGGCGGGACTTACTGCGGCGCTCCGCCTGATCCAGGCCCATCGCCCAGCCAAGACAGAGGTCCAGGGACAGCAGCAGGTGTGGACGTGTCAACAGCGCTGACACCAGTGTGAGGTTGAGCTAACATTGAGTCAAGGAGCACCCTTTTTCAGGTTGTACCCAGACGAACATCTTTGAGATGGGGGGAATCCAATGGGGGACGCGCCCTCACCCATCTGGCATTGGATTTCATTTGGGCCATAAGCAACGGTAGAGATTGCTGGTAAACGCTGAATGACACACACGATGTGGTGTGCGAGAGAGAGAGGGGTGGGAGCCGTAAATGTGTATGTAAATCATTGTACTGTTGCACCGTAACCCCCTCCTTCCCCTCCTTCCCCTCCTCCCTCCCTTCCTCCTCCTCCTCCTCCTCCCTCCCCCTGCCCCACAGCAAGCTGCATGCTTTCATCTGGGACTCTGCGGTGCTGGAGTTTGAAGCCTCGCAGAAGTGCGACCTGGTGACCACGGGAGAGCTGTTTTTCCGTTCGGGCTTTGGCATAGGCATGCGCAAGGACAGCCCCTGGAAACAGAATGTGTCCCTGGCCATTCTCAGGTCTGTCCCAGCCGAAGCTGCATTACTCGTATGACTTTTTTGTTTCTTATCAATATGATTTCATGGTCACGTATTGACCATTTATAGCCACCCAATACATTGCCTTATGTCACATCTTCTCTCTCTGTATCTCCCCTCTCCTGCCCTCTCTGTCTGTCTCTGTCAAGTTTATGTCTGTTTGTCTCTACACCTGTCCAGCTGTTTGTGTGTTTCATTTATGTTGCTATGGGAGTGAGCGGCTCGAATACTGCGTCATTGCGGCGTGTATTAACTTTGTCACCTCTCTCCCCACCACCCCCAACCCCCTGCAGTTCTCATGAGAACGGCTTCATGGAAGACCTAGATAAAACCTGGGTGAGATACCAGGAGTGTGACTCAAGGAGCAATGCCCCAGCCACACTCACCTTTGAAAACATGGCAGGTATGGTCCTAATGGCGTAGAGAAAGCGTTAAAAAGTGATTGGACAAAAACTGCAGTGGTAAGGTACTGTAGCCCTTTTTTGTCCAATACCTTTACAAAATCGTTGTTTTAGTGTCGGCGTGGGTGCTCTGTGGAAATGTGCCGTACAGTATCTTGTGCTGTGGCTTTGTGCGGTTGTGATATTTTATTACTACTGTGTGGTTTGCAGCCGCCGTCGTCAGTAGGAACGGGTTGAGAAAGGAGGGGCGACCACTGGGCATGACGGGCAGACCATGCATTCATGCTCAGTGGAAGCGGCGGAGTTCCAGACCAGCTCACAGATCTCTGTCTCTGCTCTGTTTCTCTTCATCTGTCCCTTTCCAAAAGGGGTCTTCATGCTGGTGGCTGGAGGCATAGCAGCAGGGATCTTCCTCATCTTCATCGAAATCGCCTATAAGCGCCATAAAGACGCCCGCAGGAAGCAGATGCAGCTGGCCTTTGCGGCCGTCAATGTTTGGAGGAAGAACCTGCAGGTAGGAATGATCCCCTCTGGCTCCTCACACCCAGGGTGAAAGGGATAAAAATGGGGAGCAAGAGAACCAGCAAAGACCCCCCCCCTCATGGGGGGTCGGTTTCTGTCTCTCTGCCCCTCTGGGAGCTTTTTATTTTCATCAGTAGTGGTCAGACCGCCAGATCGCCATATGAGAAACCGTGATCTCTGATGTCTTCATGTACTGTAAGAGGCCACCCTGTAGGTGCTAAGAGTCCCGAGAGGCCAACGTCGCCGTGTCTCTTGTGTGTGCCTGCAGGAGAGTAAGGATGCCTCAGGAAGTCAAGCCGTGGCCGGGACCCCCTCATTAGTATGTAGCTAATTAGCAGGGCCATTTCCACCTCCATATCACCTCCTGCTGTTAGATTACCAATAAGATAATTAGCCTTGTGATCCTCTTAACATGATGGACATCCGACTTAAAACTTCACCTTCCATGTCCATGGCATGAACTAGTAGTTCTAAGCTGCTTATACGCTTCATAAGGTCAGATGATGTGGACATGGAAAGCCGACGAAAATAAACAAACGTCCTACGAGAAACATCATAATAACAATGCCAACAGTGATAACTGTGCGGTTGATGCACTTTGGTTACGTCACCACTCATTTCCTTCACTCTGGTGGCCATGCCGACAGCAGCCAGGGGCTAACAATACAAATAGAGCATAAAGAGTGAGATCAATGCCCCGGCATAATCACACAGCAGTGACTCTCACAGTATTGTCAGCATAACTGCAAAAGCGTCATGCTACAGTGCACACCGCGTCTCCTTATCCACTGTAGTGTCCATAATGCAGATACCAAATGAGAGTGTAAAACTTGCATGCCAGAGGCTTCATGCAAACACAGTGACTGCCTCAACAGGCATCCGTTTAAAAGGTCAGTTCTCCCAAATTTCAGAAGTACATATTTTTCCTCTTGTCCTTGTGGTATCTAGTCATGCAGATAGATTTAGTTTTATGTGCTGGGAGTTTCTAACTTCTGCCACCAAACCAATAAAATGGAGGTGTAAGGATTTTCCGCCATCTGCACGGTCAGATTCCACAAGTAAATTTTTTTTTTTTAAATTTGAGTGAACCGAACCTTTTAGCTACAATCAAGCAATGCAGTCCTCCACTCAGTCGATGAAGAACACGATTTGCCCCCTGTACTCCAGTGCAATCAAATGTGGCTGTGAAGCGTTGGAGCATTGGAGCACCCCCTCCTACACCCACCCACCCTCCTTTCCTTCATTCTTTACGGTTTCACTCCCTGATTGGATAGCTTGGAGGGCTCAACATTTGATGGCCAGTCACACAGTGAGTGTGTGATGTGGCCCTGGCAGCCCTGTCTGCTGCCTCTCTGTAAGCCTTCAACCAAAACTCAGTGTCTGGCCCCGCTGCATAGAGACAGCAGGGCCACAGGAAGGTACAGTATAAAATCACAAGTGCCTGTCAGCAAATCAGTGTCCTTCTCAGAGTGTCTGCCATCGACCTGACTATTGTATGTAAGTGTCGTGATTGTCCTCATATAGATGTACATTCTCTAGGTGCATACAGCAGGCGAATGCATGCGGGGGGGGGGGGGGGGGCATCACTGAGAAAGGAGAGGGACACACTAAACTGCCCATAGACCAGCGCGTTTCAGATCCATATCAATGACGATCATGTTGATTTCTCTGCTCCGCTGAACAAAGACAGCTCATGCATGCTCGTCTCTCTCATCGACCGTCACTGTGGGCCCTAGAGCTACTAAAACGGACACACACAATCTTCACTGCTCTAACTATAACCGCCGTAATGGGGTCTCATGCAAGGAGCACAGAGGGAGCCCACGAAGTCGAACTAACACGAACCGCTCTCTTCTGCGTGAATATTATTCAGGATATTATTCATACTGTTTGGGTGCACTGATTTGATCTAATTTTCACAAATTAAAAATGACAACTTGGTTATGTAGGACACAAACTCAACACGATGGAAAAATCACAGTTGACAGTTTATGTGGCCTCCTCCTTCCTTAGCTCAGCAAGCACTGAAACTTGGAGTCCCATCCTTGGCATCATTTTTAACTGCTTGCACATGTGTTTGTATGTAATTATGTGCTTACACTGCAGGTTGGTGTATTATGCAAAGCACTGTGCAGTACTGTGCACCCACAATACCTTTCAACACAAGGATGTACTCTCAGAGAACGTGCACTTCTGACTAACTGAAATCTGTTCACATGGTTCACCCATCATCCTCCGCAGGCTGAGTTTATCTCGACATGCTGTTCATGCTCAAAGGCCCTCAAAATATGAGTTTATTAACTACCATACATGACGAAGGTGCACGCACTGATAGAACTGCATGCCTAAGACAGTCCAGTTTTAAGGACCTGTAGCCACAGAGATGTAGAGGGGTAGACACAATAGTGCATATTCATATTTTGGTAAGAATTTAGCTGCCTTTTAAAGCTGATTTAATCTTTATGATCTAAATTTATAATCTTTATTATACAAAGTATTATATGTAATGGATAGACTGTGTAGTCATGCTATAACTGTACTGTTTATGAGAGATTTGTAATAATGGAGTATAACAGTATTTTCAGCAATAGCCGCTAGCTGTTTCCAGCAAAAAGGCTTTAAGAACTGACTCTCCAGCACAAAGAGCAGACAGACAAAGCCAGCGACTACCTGGTGAACATAATGGCGAGTCTAGCAGCTAAAGAGCCAGATATTTCCCTTAGGTGAGTGAATATTGGACTACATTCATCACGTCGACACAAACACAACTGCAAACAGATGCTAACATTGCTCTTTATCTGCTGTGCATTTAAATAGCTAAATGTTTGCTAACTATGTCACCATATCAACTTAAAAGGTGATAATGGGTCAGTTTGGCGTTCACAGTCTGTTCCTGCTGCGTCCAAGTAGCCATAAAAAGTCGGCTATTGCACATTGCAAAAGTCCTGACACCAGTCTGACTGGGTCGTAAAAAACATTTCCGGAACATTTCCAACGTGGCTAAAGTCTGATTTAAATGTAGTCAAAGGTACGTACAAGATTACACTGTCTTAAAAGTTGTTCCTTTATTACAGCGTTCATTCCAAAGCATCAGATTTATAAAACTAAACTTGCACAGCTACAGTTCTTTCTTAAAACATATTTGGAAATTAGACAGCTGTTCTCCCTCTCTGTGTCAAGGGCCAGATAACAAGTCAGCTTAATGTGACTGTGACAGATGCCAGTGTGTAGGCTTACAACATCCTTCACCAATAACAAGTACAGAGATAAAAAAATCCTAGGAGAGCATGTTAGCTTTCTCCACACTGGTGTGTCATGTTTGAAAAAAAAATTTATAAGATGGAAACCAGGGTTTTTAATCTCTGAAGCTGTTACCTTTACAGGCAGATGAAGCCGGTGGTATTATGGATTATGAGTACCATGTCTGAAAAGTGCTTCACAGTAAATAAATGTAGATACAATTTTGCAGGAAATTAGTCTAAATTTAACAGAAATCAGAAGTTCCTTTTCTACTCACCTCTCTACATTGATGCTAATGGCAACATATCTGTAATGTGTTAATATTGACGAATAATATCTGGGCTCTGGTATGAACTATGGGCTTCTACTTGTTTCGAACTTGCTCTTAATGCTACCAACTATAATGTCTTCTATAAATTTACATCATACAGATTTATATTGCTCTATGTTCAACTTAAGTGTTACTGATTTGTCCTAGTGTCATGTTGCTGTTGGATTTCGTTGACCACTACATCACTGAGAGGCTACACGTTCAGCTTTTGGCTTTCCCTTTTAGAACAGATGTTATTCAGAAGTGCACAGTCTGAACGAGACTGAAACTGGTGTCAGTTTGGGTTGAATACAAAGTGTCGGATTCCCTGTTCTGTGATGATGATGATGATAATGATGATGTATAATGACGATGCACTAGCGGCGGCTCGCTTGTTTCCGGCGCGAAACAGGCAGCTTCTGTGCACTGTGCAAGTCCCATGCCACGCTTCATCTGATGGTCCAGCATGCCCTGCATGGCCGGGACTGTGCACACGCAGCACCTCATCAGGGCTCAGAGCGGCCACACTCCAATCCTGCAGTCTCAGACGTGTAAGAAATGGCGGAAAGTCAAGAGTAAAGGAAGAGAACTGACGTCACTTGGGCATTGATTTTTTTTTTCCTGAATCAAGATGAAAACAGTCAGAGGCGCTTGTTACACAGGCTGACTTTCACCATTTACTAACAAGAAATGTCATCTTCCAACAGGAAAAACATTTTATTTGCTATTACCTGCACTAAAATGGAGTGATGTTGTGCACCAATCACTCCTCTGCCAGCTCTCACCTGAACTCCACGCCAGCTAATGCCTGCTCCCCACCTCAGATCATGTCACCAGGGTGGTTGAGAGAAAAGTGCTGGTTGGCGGGGTGATGGGTGGTACAACTGTACCCTGAAAGAGCCTAGTCATGTGACCTGATGAAAAAGGATGTACTGCGGGCCAGTGCTGGCCAGGATTGATTTGTCATGCTATTTGTTTTGTGTTTACTTATTCTATGTTTTCCCCCTTTATTCCTTCCCTCCATCCATAAAGCATGTTGAAATTCACACCACACTGCCCCGCCCACCCAAAAGGGCCTCCCTCCCGGCAACTACTCACTCATCCTCCACTTATACTTTATACTAACATCCACCCTAGAGTGCTTTCTTTTTTAGAAGTGGCATCTTTTAGCCTCCATCTTCTCATATCATGAAATCATACGTAGAAAAATCACAAATCTTTCCTTTTTTGCACTTTAACTTTAACAATATCAATATTGTTTTGCAGCATCAGTAGGCAACCATTCCTTCTCAAACCTTTTTTTTTCTTGCACTCCATCTCATCCTCCATCCCATTCCCTTGTGTGTGGGGTGAATTTCCATTATACCACTTTAAGGTATAATGACTTTAAATGGGCTTTAATTACTGACTTTTGTCGCTGTTGTTTTCCCTCTTTGATATGCATTTAGTGGCCTCTGATACCGTAGCTTCTCGACTTTTTATACCTGCCTGGCTTTGGATGTGGTTGTTTGCTTTGCTAGTATTTTTTATTTTTTATTTTATTGTTAAATATCCACCCTTTTTGGTTCCCTTGGCTTTTGCTTAAGGATCTACTTTAAAGTAATAACGATCAAGTGGATGGAAATTTATTTTATTTTTCTTTTCTCCCCTATGCAGCCCTCTTCCTCTCTAGAGACTCAGGATGTAAGAATACCTTAATATGAGTTTTTTTGCACACAAACACGCAGTAATTGTGCTGAGAGTAGCTGTGGGGCACTCTGATGGTATGAGGGAGGGAGGGCACCTAATTGGCTTCGCCGTCTTCTCAGGATATGGTTAAAACTGCTTCCTTTTTCTTTTTTTTCTTTCTCTGACCTGTGTCAGAACCAAGTTCTAAGTAGATTTTAGATAACTTGTTAAGTCATATTTGGCATGTTTAGTCGATCCATTTATAAGTTAAGATCACTTGTGTGTTGAGTTGAGGAATTCAACTGTAAAGTGTGTGTTCGAGCAGCGAACAGGCAGAATACTTTAGACGGTTAAAGTAGCGTGACGTAGGTATCACACCCACTGACATCTTTACTAGTCATCACTCATTTCAATGCATTTCTAGGGGCCGAGTCAATGTGTCAGCACATTTCTAGAGGACTACTGTGCCATCTTGTACAGTCCCAGTGTGATAATGTTACATAAAATGCAGATGCCCTCATATCAGCCTGAACAGACTATTTCCACTCTCACATCTAACTAAGCTTTATCCCTTTCTTTCTCCCTCTTTGCGCATTTTTACATTTCCAAGTGCTGTAGTCTTTCTCACAAGGACCCTCCCTCTATTTAGACAATATAAAATAAGGTAATTTTATTGGGGTGGTGGTGGTGGGAAGAGAGAATGGGTGAGACTGGAACCACGGTTATCACCCCAGTCAGAGGACATGAATAATGTTTCTACATATATTTATTTTAGGATAGGAAAAGTGGTAGAGCAGAGCCCGACCCCAAAAAGAAAGCCTCTTTTAGGTCCATCAGTACCACCCTGGCCTCCAGCATCAAGAGACGTAGGTCCTCCAAAGACACGGTAAGGAGACGAAGAAGAAACATCTTCCCTTGTTTACTCCTCCCTCTCTTTCCTTCTCTCCTCCTCCTCCTCTTCTGTCTCTACTTCCAGCCCTCTCCTTTCTCTTTCTCTGTCCTCTCTGCCTACATCCCCATATCCGACCGCGAAAGAGTCCCATATTCCACTCACCCATCTCCACACGACTCCGCGGCCTCTGCCACGTGTCTGTCCGTTCACCATTGATCAGCCATCACCATTTAGCATCTGTAGCTCCTCTACAGGCCAGAGGGCATCAGTGCAGGAACTCAGGTCAGGCCAGGCCAGGAGCTGGGCTCTGAATTCGGGGAGGGGGCGTCCCAAGTGTCCAGGGCTTTCGGGGGAGGTTTTGATGGGATTAGTGGCTTCTGGAGGAGGGGGGCGACAAAAAGCAAAGCAGTCTGCCAGTGGTGTTTTGTCTTGGGCTGCTCTTCCTCCGTGCCTCTGGTTTGGACGTGGATTCTGGCGATTGTGTCCTACTTAGTGGCGTTGTGGTGTGTGTATTGTACCTGAGCGTGCAGTTTGTCTGTGTATGTGTGTGTGTGTGTGTTTATATATTCGTGTTCACGTCCTGTCTTTTTGAACTGCTTGATCCTTTGTATATCCACCTTTCTTTGCACCAATCCCGCCCGCACTTCCTCTGTTTGGGTTTCAGCCGCTGTTGTTTTGCTTTTGGTTTGAGAAGCATGCGCTGGTGTTCTGTCATTTTTCCAAAAACCCATTTCCAAGGTAGTCGTGATGGCCAAGTCCTGCTGAGAAGAAAACTAATGTGTTGTCTTATTTATCAACATGTCTATTTCAGGATTACACTCATGGATTTCTATTAATCAAATTACTTTTTTGCTTTGTCATATTTTGTTTTTCATAATTCTTGTTTATTTTTCAGTGTCCTTGTGGTCTGACCTGTGCATGCCTCTTTCAGGGTATATTTTCAGGTGCTGAAGACAGTCTTCTTTTATGTTTTAATGGGCTCTGCGAAGCCTTAGACTCTCACTGTGTTACAAAGCAAGCATAAATTCAAGCTAATCTTTTTCTTTTTTCTTTTTCTAAATTGTGTTTTACACCATCTCTTTATCTTTGCTTGACTCCTTTGTTGCAGCACAATGAGAGTGTCAGGTTTCCTCCATTCCTTCACAGTTCAGTTGAAAAAGCCCCTGTTCGTTGCGGTTGGGAGGTTGTACTCCACAAGCTTGGAGTGCTCTGACAAACCAGTGACCCTCGGTCATTCGTACCCAGCTGCTTCGCCACACATAGCTGGTCGCTGACTAAATCTGGCACAGGCCTCGAAAAAAAAGAAAAAAAAAAAAGCTATAATCTCTGGAGATAGCACAGACACCTTCACGGAAAGGCTTCTGTACTAACACTGTGTTTTGAATGTGTTTCTCAGGGGAGACGTAGCCAATGGCTGCTAAGCTAACGGGTCTCAAAGAAAAAAAAGATTTTGTGTCTGTGTTTTTATTTGATCTCCTGTCTTTCTCTCTTTCTCTTGTGTTAACTGTCTTTTTTTTTTTTTATGGATGTTTCGGCATTGAGCCAAACCACCTCTGCTCTCCCCTGGAGGTTTCTCAATAGAATTGGTCTCGTTTGAAGAGAAGAAGAGTGGAATCGCCATTGTTAATATGTCTGTATGAGGGTTCAGATGCTGGTTTGGGAGCCCTAGTGGAACCAATAATGATAATAATAATATGGCTCGCAGTTGAAAAATAAAACAGGATTTAGTGTAATGAAAAAAGATGCTCTAATTTGCCATCTTCAGTCTTTGACCATTATTTTGATTTTATATAAATGTTCTTCTTTTATATTAATGGATATCAATGGACTTGAGTGTCAGTGTCCCTCACCCACATGCCACACTGCTCCTCTCTCCCTCTGCAAGCATGCCGATTACTCTAACTGTCATAGATGTAGTAACAATAGAAGAAGTAGAAATAATCTTTGTAGAAGTGCCACATGTTAAGAAGAACCACCATAGTTTTATTGAATTTATAAGCATTAACTGTGGTTGTGATGTCAGTGAAGTGTCTCTCTTTTGCTGGTCCACTTGACCCCCAGTAGGGTGCGCTGTTAGCAGGCCCTCAAGGTACACGACATGAGGAGTCCCAAAAGGGGGCTGTAAGCCATATGATGATGCAACTTGCGGGTCAAGGAGATGAGGGACATCCACTCTGACTCCACTTTATTCAGAAAATTTGACATTTTACCACTCAGTCTGGATGTTGCCCCATCTGTCAGCATGTTAGTTGCATCTTAACAGCTTATGAAGCTCATATGCTTGAATGTATTGGCTCTGTCAGCTTAAAACGAGAGGCACTTAAAATCCTAAGATCTTGCCTAATTGAGAAAGAAACAAAAAGACTGTACTGTATGAGATGGGTACACCGAGGCAAGACTCTTCCCTGTTTTGGTTCTGCATTTCATTAATGTACAGTATTCATTTGTAATGCATTTAATGTACCAACCAAAGATGTTTTCTTGCACATTGGGTGTTATGAAACAGGTTTTTCCAACAGTGTTGAGTCAGGATTGTGATTGGCATGTTGGAAATCAGTTGGATTATAGAGGAGGTGGATTGCTCCACCAGATCTCACGGTTCCAAAATATGAAGCTGTTCCTCAGCAAACAGCATGTTAAAATCTCTTAATGTATATTTAATGTGATTGTTTCACACGGTTTCTATATTTTTGCTCATTAGCAGAAAAAGCAACCTCAGCATTGTAAAAAAAAAAAAAAAAAGTGGCTTACTGCTGCCACAGATACACACCTAAAAGACTCAGTCACAGGCAAAAAAAAAAAAAAAAACTGTTGCCATAGAAACTAAGCACCTGCATGGATTTGGGATCTTGTTTCCGCGCGCTCTGCTTTAAAGGAAGCACAGTGAAGCGGGGACAGGACGTAAGAGTCCGACACAACAGCACTTTGAAATCGGCCTAAAATTCACCTTCTCTGCCTGAGCTGCTAAAATTAGAGGAGCCGCCTGTCTGCATGTGTACAAATGACTGTGGGGAGATAAATGAGCTGTCCATTTTACCCATGGCAGGAAGTTATCACCCAGTCATGTTGTGAGGCTGAAAAAAGATAAATAAATAAATTATGCCTGATTCAAATTGGCTGTTGTCTAGACTCTCAGGATCTTACGTCTGCTCCCAACTAGCCCACCTCAGGCACAACCGAACCGCTTTACACAATCCAAACTTTAAACTAAACTGAGGTGTGCCTGAGGGGGGTTAGAGAACCCTCCTGCTTCTAAACTGCTGCAGAAATGAAGCACAGGTGTTCTTAAAATCAAAATTAATGTTTAGATAATTATATACTAGTGCAAAAATAAAAAAGCTGTCAAATGCTGCTTTTGTGAAGAAATGACATCCTGTCATGCGTCTCCTTTTCCCCCCATTTCTCTTCACCTCTGCAGCAGTACCCACCCACTGACATCACGGGCCAACTCAACTTGTCTGACCCGTCTGTCAGCACTGTGGTGTAGAGAGGAGAGGGAGACGCTGGTGCTTGCTCCCAGAGGAGAGAGGAAACGAGACGAGGAAGGAGGAGAGGAAGCGGAGGGTTCCCTTCGCCCGTCGAAGCTGAAGCTTTTCTTTTCACCGCCTGCCGACGGAGCTTTTTGAGGAAACCGCTTGCTGAGGAAGTGGCTGAAAACACTGAACCTGCACCTTTTTATTGAAGTCAGGATTAATCTGGCGTTAGATGTTTGTAGGGTCCCCTGAGCATGCACAGAAGAGCCCATCTGACTCATCTACATCTACAATCTTTTCCTTCTGTATATTATCAGCTAACTTATTTAACCTTGTTTTCGTCCTTTTGCTCACACGGATTTACTTAATGTTTGATGTTTTCCAATTTCCTGATTAGCTGTATAGCATTTAGCAAGCCAGGTTTAGTTTGGTTTATGGATAATCCAGTTCTGGTGCGAGTACTGTACTCTACATATCACTTCCAGTTAGGGCCTAGCTACCATAGTAATAGTATTTCTTAACAACATATACAGCAATACAAGACGTACTGTAAGCTTCAATGGATATCAGTATTTTCTAATAGGAACTACCTGTGTTTTTATCTACACTTTAAGGTTTTTAGATGACGTTTCTTTGATTGGGAAACACTAATAATTAACAATGACTTATCTTGTCTACCACCGAAGATGATGAAGACGAAGCATGTGTGTCCTTGTATATGAAAAAGAGCTTTACGTATTTGAACGAAGATACTGATCATTGTTATTCTGGCTATATACCAGATTCTGTAGTTGTTTAAATTGTATCTTTCCCCCCTTTAATCTTGCACTAATCTCCCAAAATGCATGTGTTCTTATTTCTAGTAAGAACTCAGTTTCTTAAAGAGAATCTGTTAAGCTTTACTACTGTTTATAGCAAGAGTTGAGCAGGTTAATATATGACATTTTAGATTAATTTGCAATCTGATGAAACAGTGAAGTAAGGCTGGTGTTTCTACGTCCAAATATGTTTGACACACTCAGCCGCAAGCCATGTTGCGTTTGGGGACGCCCGCTTTCTTCCTCTCTCCTGCCGCAGCAGTCTTTCTCATTTCCAGTCTCGACGGGGTTGCATCAAAGGGCCAGGTTTTTCACCCAACCAGCACTCGGTCGTTCATGCAAAACCTCCTGGAGAACTTTTGCACGAAGGCACCAGAGTGAATTGAAAGCTTTTTGTTCGGCTTGCGAGTTTCTGTGCAGGTCTTGGTTAGATGCAAAAACAGGCCGTTTCCCAATTTCTGGAGCTGAGAAACCACAGCTGTTTGTTGAAAAGACTATCACGTCCTTTCTGGTGTCTGGCACTGCATAGCACTTTATGCTGAGGGGTCTCCCAAACTGTATAGAAAAAAAAAAACAACATACAGATTTGCCAAGAAACTAGAACAGAACCACAAGTCAAACATATTAACCTCTCCAATATACTGTATTATGTTTTAATTCCACAAATCTCTTTTTACTTAATTAGAAAATTTACAAAGTCTTTATAAGAGAAATAATGACACTTTTAAACAACCACACAAAGTGCTAAAACACAATTTGGTTTCATAGCTTTGCTTCTAATCATTTTCTCATTCTGGCCTATGCATGCGTATGTGTTATTACCAGTGCTTCAGTTTGTTTTTGGATGCGTGTTGTTGCAGTGTACAGTTAGCTGAGCTGTGTGTGGAGCACTTAAGTTGAATGAAATGTAAATAGCCCAGTTCAGTGTCGATGGGGTTGAGGAGATTGTACTGTGCTTGTATTTTGACTGAAGCTGAGAATGTCTTACATTAGAGTTACACACAGCGGTTATATTATAGTTGCACACAAGGGAGGAATGGCCTGTTTTTCTTACCTTTTCCAGTAAAGACCTTGCATTGAATCATCTTGTTTATACAACTGTAAATAAAATATACTTACATTGCCAAGTCTAATCAATCCTGTGATTTAATTATTTTAGGTTTCCAACAAACAGTTACATTGTTATATAATATTATATATTATAATCTATAACCTCAACGAATCAATTTGTTTACATAATGTCACAAAAATGAGAAACTGCTCACCCCAATTTTATAGACCCCAAGGTCCAAATCCAAAATATATTGAATTTACAATCATGTAAAATAGAGAAAAGCAGCAAATCACCATATTTGAGAAGCTGGAACCAGAAAATATTTGCAATTATGCTAGATAAATGACTTATTAATTGATTATCATAATAATTATAATTTATTTTTCTACAAACTGACTAATGGATTACTTGACTCATCATTTAAACATAAATTAGTTTCTATCACGACCCTGTAGGAGCAAATCAATAAACCTCTAGATCTGCAATTTTAGTTTCAAAGTGCGTCACAGTTACAGATGAAGAATGTAACTGCACCAAACAGAAGAGGATATATACCAAAGAGAAAAGAGGAAACATAAAGAGACATTTGAAAAGGAAAAAATCAACATATGAATCAGAAACAAGCAAGAAAGTACAAAAGGCAAAGATCAAATCACTGCAAGCAAGAGCACCAATTAAAAGATTATATCTAAAAGTCATTGTGAAAGCGCAGCACAGCTTGAAACAGATTCATTTCACCACAGTGTCTTTCTCTGTGGAGTAGAAACAGTGCTGCCCATATGAGCAAAGGTAACAAAGAGATTAGAGAAAGGGAGACATTTTTCTGTGCAGTGGTCCAGTGGCTCAGCCGTGCACGGGGAAGGTTTTGAATAATTTGCCTGCTCGGGCCCATCAGCCATGTTGCACAATAGGTGAGGTGTGCTTCCCTCGTCGTTAAAGTTCTTATGTTTTAACATTTCACCACAATGCAAAAATAGAGATAGCACAAAGGTGATGTAGTAAAATATTTTAAGCAAGAACAATAGACAGCAGTTATGTAGGGTGGCACTCGTAATGCTTGTTTTGCTTTGGCAATCAAGTTTTCTAAAGAAACAGTCTGTGTCACCAATTTAAACCACTCACCACCACCCACCCACACTGTACACTTTCTTCTAGTTATATAAAATAAGCCCGGCTACTACAATCAAACATGTTAGCCCAAATTCTGCCTTAGATGTTAATCCCCAGAGGGAAAAACTTGTGGGGATTCTGGGCCACTGTTCAAGTTTTTTACCTCTTTCCAAAAGGCAATACCAAAGGACAATCCCACAGAACATAGAAATGTCCCCATTTCTTTGATACATTTCCAACTTTTTTAGTCTTGGGTTAAGCCTTTGAAGGGTATAAAATAATATCTATGTACAATTTGTAATGGATGGCCTTCTTATATCCCTTTTAGCCCAGCCAACAACTGAGGCCACATCCTGCCATAACTCTTCCTTCATCTCACAAGCAAGATCTTTTTGCCATATTAATCTCAGGCTTTCGCATTTTCTAGGTTGTAACTTTAAGACTGTTGCCATCGTAACAACTTTTTAACTTAAAATATCTCAAAAACAATTGGATAGATAGATTGGCCTGAAATTATGTACAGGTAGTCATGGTTGCCAGAGGACATGTCCATTCCACCATTTCCTTCATTTGATTTCATGACATTCCCATAGGCCTCAGCTGTACTTTGTGCTTACTGTAACTGTTTAGAGCAACTGTTAGCGTGCTAACATGCTAAACTAAGATGTTGAACATGGAAAATATTACCTGCTAACCTTTACCATGACAGCATTATTGTCACTGTGAGCATGTTAGCATCCTGACATTAGCATTTAGCTTACAGAATCACTACACCTCAAGTTCACAGAGCCTCTAACATGGCTAACTCTGTTAATCATTACAGACGGTTATAAATTATGTCCCTTTCACAGAACAAATGCTCATAATTAACATATAATGAAATCAAGGATTTCCTCCCTAAACCCCTGAAAATGTCATGTTGCACCTGCAGATAAAAAATAAGGGGAGACGTTATATCTTTAGCTAATCCAAAATCTGTATTTTTTAAGCAGCCCTCACATGTAAACATTAAAAATATGACTATACTGCTCAGTGGAACATAGCGCCAATACAGTCACTGGGTCAGTCAGCGTAATCTATGATTAAATTAAAGGTGTCGCCATTAATCTAATCATGGCTGTCACTGTTAATTAATGACACACCTTGTAGAAGCAGAGGTGAGTCACGGGATATTGTTAGGTGAGACATTTGTTCTGGTCCATTGACCTTCTGTCCTGATCACAGCCGACGCTCTGTCACACTCTGTCAGTGAGATTAATGTGATTCAAGCGCTGATTGTTGCTGCTAATTAGATTTTCTGAACCTTCCACTAGAAGACATACAGTATCATTTACAGCTTGATGTACAAAGAGTAATTTTTCTTATTTTCAACACATATTGCGGGGTTTTCTCTCTAACAATTTATATTTTTTCTTAAGAATGTTTCCATTTTGATCTAAATTTGCTATATTTGATGTCTCAGTGGACAGTCAGTGGCAAGTGAAATAGTTAAACTGGCGATCAAAAACAGTCGAGGAAGCCTTAAACAAAATGACTGTAAATGTCCTGAAGCTGGGCGTGCTAAACCCACATCCAGATGCTGATCATCTTAACCAGGTTTGTCGTCCTGTTTTTATTTGAGATTGAGGCAGTCGAACCAAGATCGTGTATCAGTGAAGGATTCCATTTAGCTGCTTCAGTGTCAGTGTCAGGGTCAGGCCTCTGGTAGTATAGTGCATGCTGGCTCACTGTCACACTTCCATGGTTTACCGTGACACTTGAATAACCTATTAAAGTTGTTAGCAACATCTAGTCATAATATGGAAACGGCCTTGTGTCATTGTCCTACACTCAGCCTGTGACCACAGTTGTGTAATATTTTATGTGGCCCTGAATGGAGATTTAGAGTCTAAAAAAAACATTTGCTAGTCTGCCAGTATCTTACGTAAAATGGTATTGAGTTGCATCATGGGAAATGTAGGATATAGTATTTTCGGAGCTTGACCCTTACTTGAGAGTAAAAGTGAGAATATTTCTGCCTCTGCTGCTATGATTCTTTTTAATCTGCTGTCCTGTAAATCTCCAGACTTTACCGATGCCCCTTTTTATTTTTGACCTTGGGAACAGCAGTTTGACAAAAGAACTTCAGTTCATATTTACAACAAGAAAACTACAGTTCAGTGACAACTCCATACACTGATGTGGACCGAGATACAATTGAAAGCTCTGGAACAAACTAGTAAGTGGACCTTGAATCGAGGTTGTGTTATGTTTTAGTCCATATTGCTGCCAATGTAATCTATTTTATCAGTTGATGCTATTCAGGGTGTCTGCTTTTTATTATTTTACATATCATAACTTTCAGGTCTCTCTTCCTCCTCCTCTCTGCTTTTCAGTCTGTGTGGACATTACATGTAGGCAGGGCCATTATTATTGTCAGCTGCTTCTTGTATTTATGGTATTTTTATGGTCTGTGTGAACAGTATGGGAATGTCGACAATGAAAAGACATCAAACATACACATCTGTTGATGTGTCGTTGTGACAGAAGTCATGTAAATCCCCTGTGTTAAGGTTCAGTCACTGGACTAAAGGCATCCTAAAAAGTCCAAGACAGTGTGATTCTTTGTGGCATTTAATCTACATTTAAATTACATTAACATGTAAATTATATTTTCATGTACATTTTTTTTGTAATCTCTACCATATTGTGAAAAAACCTACTTCACAATTAGCGTCCCCAGTGCCAACATGAAGAACAGCTCAAGTGCAAAAGCTCCTTCAAAATAACTCATAATATATTCTGCTAAATTTAGACGCTGTCAGAACAGGATTTCTGCAAAAAATAGACTTTAAAAAATGTACAAAAAAAAAGTATGGGCCTCTAGTGAAAACTTCATTTCCATACTTTTTTCAGACAGTCAAATGAGGACACAATTTGCAAGTCAGGTTTTAAGCTGCAGCCATTCACATGCAAATACTGGAGGAAAACAAGAAGCAGTCTGTGGCTCTCAGTTCCAATAGGCTACAATCTGGACTTCTGCCAGTGTGGGCCACCCCTTGTTTTCCTAGAAATTACTGCATAATTACAAATCAAGTTAAGTTTTATCCTCGCTGAGATTAGAAAAAGGGAATGACTAGGCAGAAATAACACTGCGGCTCCACCCTGACTAACCTAAACTAACTGCTGAGAGTGAATGAGCAGCAGGTTCCTCCTGTCAACAATTGTTGCCATAATGAAGACATTTTTCCCTCCATGGCAGCAGTAGCCTTGGAGCTGCTTTCATTCACTGATCGAGGAGAAGGTCTCAGGCACACGGAGGAGGGCCCGGCTGAGCGCGGGACATAAATTCAGGTCAGACGTTGCTATCTGAAGTGAAATGTAAAACTGGAGTCAGGAAGCAGGTGAAGCGTGAACCACAGGCGGGTTGTTGATAACGCCCGGCCGGCGGGAAGCCATCAGCCGCTACTGTACTCCCACTTGGCCGCTATTAAGTCAACGCTCAAGTTTCCACGCGGCGCAGAAAAGAGCTGCACTTCTCACTTTCACTTCATGGCTCAGCGCTCCGCTCATCCTGTCGTCCCCATCGCGCTGCTGGTGTTTGGACTCGTTGCAATCCTGCTCCTGACGATCCGCACTGAAGACGTCCAGGAGAAGCCGGGGTTCATGGTAAGGGCTGTTCCCGCTGGGTATTTTTGGATACGTGTTTGTCAGCATGTTAAGTTGTCAGGGTTTGTAACCAAAGCTCTGCCGTGCAGGGTGCAGACAAGGAGCGAAAATATGACACACAGAAATCTGTGGAGCTGGAGGCTTCTGTGACATTAATACTTGGATGATGTTCACTCTCATTAAGATTAAACTTGCACCCTCCCTTATCTCTAGAATTCATGAATTAGATGATCAATCTCTGCTCAGCTGCCGACCTTTAAATGATCGAGGCCCAGGACTGACAATAAAGGACTGCTATATGAGTGTGAGTTATTGCAGAGCCCAGCAGGTCTCATGCAGAAAAAAAGTAGTTTGTGTGCAGGATTAAATATTATGTGTTTACTACTTAGTGTTCTTACTTTAGCGGAACTCCTCACCTTCATCAGAGTTTGTCTTGCATGTATCTTTCACAGTCTCGTTATGGATCTCTGGGATTTAATTTGAATTTTAGATATGTAGATATATTTGAAGTTTTGGCGGTTATTGCTGTGTTATCTTTTAGATCCCTTATACATATTAACTTTGCATTTAAATTATTAAACACACAGCACAAACATTTATATTTTATAGAATTTTTTTTCATGACACCTCTAGGGTGTTCACTCAGTTTATCAATAAACGTATCAGTATATTAGGGGCACTTTGCTAAAACTAATACAGTCTAATGCAACAGTCCTGCAATAAACCCTGCCTTCATGCATGTTTCAATGTGCAGTTTTTGATGAAACTGTGTTACAGAGGTGTTGATTATATATATATGTAGGTGCATTACACACCTCTTTGTATAATGAAATACAATTACAGTACCACAAAGTGCAGTATAGTCTAGTTTTAACCTACAGTAGACATGGAGACATTTACAGTAACATGTTTTTTTGGCACCCAGTGAACATTTTCAATGCAATGGACTCCTCCAAAGAAACCCTAATGAAATGAGATGTGAAACAGACGTAACATTTTCATTTTCAAACCATCGGTAAACAGAATGTTTTATCAGTCTTATCCTCTTCAGTTTCTGCAGTTTATTACCTGTATGTTTGGTTTTCGGTATAAATGGTCCCTCATCCCTCTCTTGTTCAAAATCAACAGTGTGTGTTGTTATCAGGAGCCTGCCACCGTCACTAACTTTGCGATATGGATGGACACACTCAGGTGACCTCATTGCTGAGTTACTGATAAGCTGTAGTTGCCTAATTGCAATGAAAAATAATATTCAAGAATGACCTGTGAACCGATGTGAACAGAGATTATGTGTTCACCACTGTAGGAAACTGTCAACACAACTACACCAGGTGACTTTCATTGTACAATGCTGCATATCCATCATAAATCCAACATCTCTGAAGTGCAAATTTCAACCAAAGTAATTACAAAAAAAAAGCTAGATTTGTGACTTTCTTGAAAAGTGCTGGGGTTTTTTTGTTTTTTTTTTGCATTCAGAACAGGATTTCTACACGGACAAACTCCTGCTCCCTCTGCCGCCTCGTTTTTGTGTTGCCCATCCAATATCCCATGGTTCCTTTTTTACCCTAATGTAGCTGCCCTTTCACTCAGTAACAATGTGGTCGAGTCCCAAAAAAGGACACAAAAGGGTTTTTTTTTTTTTTTTTTTTTTACATTTCGCAGAGAGACAAGTTCAGCAGTTCCCATAGTGTATCACATGAAAGGACAAAACAGATCATTAGAGCTCCTCTGTGTTTCTGGCAAGTGTTAGTGCGAGTCCTCACAACTGACTGCACAGCAGTAATGAGAAAATATTATGAGAAATAATGAGGAACACTTCCACATGATGTTACTGTTCACCTGTTGCATGAATTTGAGAGGCAGTGTGTTTGCAAATGCCTGACGGGTGGAGGGACGTGCACATGAGCGTATGTGTGTATCTATCTCTGCACGTGTGTGTGCGTGTGTGGTCCCTCTCCCTTGGCTCATCAGTCACATGACTGGATTTCTGCATATTCAGAGACCAGGTTTCTTTCATTTAAACAGGCATTATAATTTGCTGTAATGTGATGTTATGACAGTGACAGTGGAAGCGATGTCAGGGTAACCAGGACAACAATCACAGAGAGCCATGGCAACAGAGGAAATATTTTTTTGCTAAAGAACTGGGCTCTGTATTGTGTCATAGAAAATATTTCCTCTAATGCTTCAGATTAATGGCGGGTGGATTATTTCCAGGACGTAAAACTGTCTTTTCAGGAATGATCATTTATCAGCGGCACACTCTGATGTATTTCCTTTATAGTTCCTCATACAGTGATGAAATGTTATGACGGAGACTGCATCCGTGTACAGGATGATAAGACATACCTGACGGTTTGATTCCCACGATAGTCATCTCTAATGCAACAATGCTAAAAGTGTACACCCACACTAGCAGCGTGGGATGACACACCTGAAAAGCCAAATTCTTGATGAAAAGTGGAGACACGGAAGCACACTGCACTCACTAAAGGAGACATTTTCTAGTAATTAAGGTTCCCAAGGTTTGTATCTCTTAGTCATATTTCTCTCGGATTATGAGATACAGATGCTGACTCACTATTCTCAGACTCTAACCGTCAGTCATCACAGAATGATAAAAATGACCTACCTTTTGAAACTATATGAAGTTGGTGAAACAGGACTGTGTCACTTCATTAGCATTATAATCAAAAGAAATATTAGAATCAAAGGTAACTTAATGGAGGATGCCAGGGTATCAGATTAATCACTAAATGAAAGAGTTCAATGGCTCGAACAGGATTAGTTCAACAGTTCTTGTTGGTTGGTTGTTCCTGGTTTTACAGATACATACATACTGGTACATAAAATCAGATGTCATCAGCATAAAATGAAAAAGAAATATTATTAGGCATTTTATTTGGCCAAGTAATCATATAGATACAAATTAGAAGGGGACCAGCCGACAATGAGTGTGGGAAGTAGTTCATCATGCATAACATACATCTGTACATAAGTGGAGAGCAAGCCTAATATTGTCTTGGGATACCAACCTACGGTGACTGTTGAGCCAGTCAGCAGCACAGAAACCAAGCACCCAAAAGAACAAGGTCCATCAACAGAGAAGCAGCTGATGCCTTCAGGAAGTATGAATTCATAAAAAAATTTTCGTGCTCAATTTAGAGGAAAAAGGAGCAGGAACAACTCTCATCTCTTTGCTCGTCTCTTTTTGTCTGTGTACAGCATACAGATATAACATAGCTGTATGTCTGACCATCCATCCATCCATCTATTTTCTGCCGCTTATCTGAGGTCGGGTCATGGTGGCTGCAGGTCAAGTGAAGTAGCCCGGACCCCTCTCCCCAGAAATGTTGGGCTGCCAAGGCGTTCCCAGGCCAGATGAGATATATAATCTCTCCGGCGTGTTCTGGAAGACCTCCAGGAAAACGCCCAGGAGGGGCAGCGGCTCTGCTCCGAGCTCCCTCCGGATGACAAGCTCCTTACCCTATCTCTCAGGCTGAGGCCAGAACACTGTGCGGAGGAAACTGTATATCTTGCAGAAGTCAAAGTCTGAGTTGCGTTTTCTGACTCAGCTCAACTGTAGGTGGAGAAATCGTCAGTTCTTTATTGTATTCTACTTGCTCACTGGCACTTGATCTGTACCTGCAGCCAGTGCGCGAGTCTGCGTTCCACTGAGTGAGGAGGATGATTAGGACAGATCAGTAGCAGGGGGAGAATTACAGCAAGCATCCGGGATTTCACGGCTGTCATCTTTGGTTTAATGTCAGAAGGTCGGGAGAGTTAACAAGTCTCAGATCATCTTACTGCGAGCTGCTTCAGAGAGAACAAATAGACAATCATGTAAAGACGGGTCATTTTCGAGAGGTATAGCAAGTACTTTCGGCTTCAACATCCATAAAGTTAATACGAATATTAAAATAAATTTGTAAGTTATAAACAACTTGTCGAGTTAGTTTGTAACCATAGAAATAACAGAAATACACTGAGATAACCTTTTCTCTCCTGAGGGTGAGAGTGGAGGTTTTTTGAAGAATGTTGTGAGTTTACGTAGTCTGCAGCCTAATACCTTCCAGATGCCAAAATTCAGGTCAAAGAACCACAATCTTAAACGTCTTTCATGGTCTTCTGTCCCGTTAACTGGACCCCCCACCCCCCACCCCCCAACTTGTCAAGGCAGTCAGCCCAACCTGCATCTTTTTTTCTCTGCCTCTCACTCTCTGTAGTACGGGATTGTCCTGGATGCTGGATCATCGCACACAGCTTTGTATATATACAAGTGGCCAGCAGACAAGCAGAATGGCACCGGGGTGGTCACCCAGCACAGAGAGTGTCATGTGAAGGGTAGGTATGAGCAGTCTCTCCAACACAAACCTATGTTTTGCATCTCAAACACTCTGGTACCAGTACTGGTACTCGAGAGGCGGCTCTGAAAAGCTTGTAACTTGCTTCTGTAGTCAGCTCGAATTGACAAAAGTTACAACACATTCAAACCATAATTCACAGTAAAAAAAAAAAAAAAGGGAAAAAAAAAGAAGGATCCTTGGAAATATGTCTAACCTCTGCTACAACACTGTTTCTCTTCCGTTCCACACATATATATTTTTGCTAGCTTTTGTCCAATGCTTTCACAGTTATCTGTCTCTTGACTTATAACCTATAGTAGGCTAATGCTAACCACACCTCTGGCAAATATAAACATTTGAGCAAATTTCAGTGGACATTTAAAGATAATGGAGAAATGATTTATGCTGCAGCAGTGCTTCAAAAAGTTTCTACACACATTTTTGGCTCAGGTAACCACACGAACGTCAGACAGATATTGTGCATTCAGCCAATTTTTTGTAACTCAATGTGAAAATGTCAGTGGTTGAAATGTTCCAGGCATAAAAATGGAAAAAGAGAAAGAGAAGTGGAATAAGCTGTAGGCGTGGCTCGAGAAGCTTTCAGAGACATTTTGACACTATTTCGGTTTCTCTTGGTGGCCGTTGGGATCATTTGTCAGTGAGAGAGCCCCTACCATAATGTTTTACCATTTTACCATACAACTGCACTAACACAATGAGTTTTGAGTAGGTGGTCAGGTGAGGATGTAAAGTTGACGTTGCTCTACTAATCTCTGGTGCCTCTGCTGCCCACTGTTGCAGCTAGCAGGTGAGATCTTCAGATTTGTTGTCATTGTAGAGTAAGACGTCTGGTTTTCACTAAGCTGACTAACAGCCTCATTTTTGTCAGTAATTTTGGCATCTACGCTCAAGAACCCAAAGCATTTCCACACACCAGATGCTTGAGTCATTATCCGATCAGTACAGCTGTCCCACTAGTGTCTGTTTTTATTCATTCACTCTTTTTACTATTAAGTCAAAAGGACATGCCTGAGTGTGAATTTGACACAATGACACATGCACACAAAAAATACTTCATACAGTTTGTAAATTTTTCTTAATTGAACACAGTTAAAATATTTTTTTTTTCCAAGTGCGAATGAAAGTTTGAATTTTTAATAAAAGATTGGTCTCATCATTCCGATGCCAACTTCTACCGTTCACATCCAAGATCAAAGATCCGACATCCAAGTCATAAATACGACTAAGTCCACAGTCAAATCAAGGTCAGTCACTGTTTTTAGTTGTCTAACGAATATGAATGTGAAAGAATGTGAATTTCTGATCTGAAATACACAGGTTTTCTGTGGAGTACACCATTAATCTTCTGAGAGTGACATTATACTACAGGAAATATGCACTTGCTTTGACCCCATCAGCTCCTCCTTTTAGACCACTGCGCTGTTTCGGTTGTTGATAAAATCTTCATCCTGTTGTATCTTGTTATATGCATCAGTGGGTGGAATTGGAAGTGCCAACTGTTTCCTGTGGATAGATTATGTTACCACATCACTGTCACAGCAAGTAAAGCAAAATTTTGTCTCGGGCAATCGTGAATCAGGAATGAGTCAGGGTTGATCTCTGTGCTTTGCCGCACCCCTGTCAGAAAGGAACTTTATTGCTTGGATGACTGAGAATGATATTACAAATCTCTAAATTCAAATCAGACCGTTAAAGTACTACAAGATTCCTTCAGTATTTGTAGTATTTGTTTTTTATCAGTATTTGTTATGAAGTCTATAATCAGGGATGTTTGATAACAGTAAGTAAGAATTAATATGATGTTATATGTCATATCATTTATAATCCAGGTATCTGGGAAATTCTTATTTTGTCTCTCAGCAGGCAGCATTGTTTAGTGCCAATATAAGATCAAGATTGAACAAGTTCTTTTTCTTTTTTATCCATCACTCACTCAGGCGGAGGGATCTCCAGCTATGCAGGGCAACAGGGAGCAGCGGGCCAGAGCTTAGAGGCATGTCTGGACCAGGCAGTCAAGGACATCCCCAAAGAAAAACACCATGTCACACCTGTGTACCTGGGAGCCACAGCTGGCATGAGGCTTCTACAGTGAGTCAGTGTGTACGTCTGTGTGACCGGACCGTCTCTGTCTGTTTATTTTGCTTTGTTTCTATGTGACTTTGTTTGTCTTGTACATATTTCATCTTTATTCAAGTTGCAGTAATCAAACTTACACAGCTTTAAAACACAAGTCAACATTGATATATAGCACAGGGATACATGATATATTGGTGGCCAATATAATATCCTCCAATAAATTAAAAAAAGGGATTTATTGCTATTGTTCCAATAAGAAATTTCAGACCATTATTCAGTCCTAATATGCTGCTTTTTTATAGTAGTTGTGGACTCTGCAGTTTTCCTGTGACTATAAAGGAGCAACACAACTATAACCATGTCAGAGGCTGATAGATGAATTTATGTTAATTGCATTTTAATTTTTGCCTGTTAGAATTTTCAGAGGGAAAAAGATGAAGACGAATGTCACTAAAAAAATAGCGTTTGTTGTGTAAACTACACTTTCTTCAGTGTTAAGTTTAAGGTAATAACGAAGTACCTAAACGTAGAACTCAGACTCTGAGACGATTTAAAAGTTCGGACAAAGACAAAGACAATTTACTGTGAAGCTGTCAGTGGTGGGAATCCTGAGCGGAGGAGCGGGGACGGGCAGGATAGTGAATCGTTGATCTGGGGCAGACAGCAGAGCAGTGGCAGAGAGCAAGGAGAAGTCGGCCAGATGTAAACACCACTGACTGTAACACACAGGACGACCTGGTGAAGAGTGCAGCGAAGGACTGGGGTTTATATACGTCAGGCTTCAGGATTGGCAGCAGGTGGGTAGGCAAAGGGGGGAGGAAACTAGGTCGCCACGCCCTGTATGAAACGGACACACACACACACACACACACACACAGACAGACAAGGAGAGGACGAACAGGACATACTGCTAGACCCAAACAGTCAGTCTAACAAGTTAGCCTTTATTGTTCCTTTCACATTTCCTGTAAATGTAAGATTAATATTATTGGTTATGTCTGAGTATTGATACCACTACAAACTTTATTATGCGTTACTCATTATCATTATCAGCCTTGAAGTTGCATATTGGTGCATATCTAATATAGTAACATGATGTATACAGTGTCTTTGACATTGTGCTTATTGTTTTATATCATTTAGGTACAGGTGATGACTAATCCTTTCAAGGCTTCATTCCTTAACATTCATATTACATTATGTTATTTGTATTTTTCAAATTAACCCCACATGAAGAGTTATTTCATCTTTGATCATATTAATGCTCTTATTTTGAAAAACAGTATCATCATGACATCCTGTTTTAAATGGAGGATATGGTTGTATTCATGGACATCTGGACCCACAAGAGTTAAACCAGCTTGTTCTTGACTAACTGAACTTGTGTATCTTATCTTGCATATTTTGCATACAGAGCTGACTAGACCTGTCCTTGTGTAGATATGAGTCCCGAAGCCACTCCTTTCTTTATTCATTTTAATGAGGGAACACAAACAGATATTGTCCTCCAGATGTAATGACTGTAACTACTGCAAGTTGGTGCCTCTAGAAATAGGTGGTATGCTATAAACAAAGCTGGACTAACTATTCGTGGGTGAGCTTTGCTGTCGTAGCGTGGCTGTTTTGACATTTTTTCCTCAAACTACCCTCCTGTTCCAACCGGCGATCTGACTGACTAATACGGTGTGACGGTGCATGAAGCTTAAAGAGCACGGAGCAGGGATGTTGACGTGTGTTCAGACATGCAGGTACTAACACAAGCACTAATGCGCCAGTGTTGGAGATGCAAAGCTGCAAAACGAAAACCGAACAACAGGGAGTTGAGAATAGTTTCATTTTCGTGACTTTTATGAAATATGACTATGTGAGAAAACAGCTGTCCAATCACTCAAAGATGAATCCGTCCAAAAGTTACGATCTGAGCCAGAGGCAAGACACGACACAGCCTTCTGTTTTAATTTCTCTGTGCTTACAAGGCACGCCTTTGCATTCATAGAAGTTTTGGCACTAATATCGCTCCATACATTGTACTTGAACTGGCTTATTTTTGTTTAGTTCAACCAATGAAATACTGAACTGTAAATGTAAAGGGCACAAATGCTTTTAGAAAGATTCTTACGGAAGTTGTACCTGGTTTAGCCTCGGTGCCTTTTCTTACACTGCTGCTCAGAGAAATCTTTGTTGAGCAGGTAGATGTGTTATAGGTAGATGAATTAAACAATTCAACAGCTGGGAACTTCTTACAGATCAAAAGATGCAAGTGTAGAAAGGCAGAAAGAAAGAGAAAGTGTTCCGAGTCAGCTGGTTGGAGTAGTTATCAGGCTGCTGCATCTGGTCCTGCAGACAAACGTTCACGATGGCGTCTCCATGAAACTTTCAAGGGAAGATCTGGGTCATTTGAACTTTTATAGTTGTAGAGGTCAGGGGTGACACCGGAGGCTTTGGGCCAGTAACGCAGTGAGAAATAAGCGAGGGTCAGAAAAACTGCCAGTAGACAATCATCAAACACACAGTAGCATTATATTCATGCAAATTCTTCATAAATCTCCATCCATGCAAAATTTCCCATGTTATTTGTAACAATCTATTAAAGAAAGACTTTTCTCCCAACCAGTTTGTTCAGCCAGGAGCAGTCGAATCAGATCCTCCAGGAAGTGGGCCGTAAAATCCAGTCCTACCCTTTCAGCTTCCAGGGAGCGGCCATACTGAGTGGTCGAGAGGAGGGGGCGTACGGCTGGGTTACCGTCAACTATCTCTTGGAGAACTTCATTAAGGTACCAAAGCTTGTTTGAAGTGTGTTTTTGGAGTCAGCAGAATTTAATCAGTTGGAATTTGTGAAAATATGTCTGTTTTTGGTTTTTTTTTGTAAGTTTTTTTTGGCATTTTTGCCATTATTGGGATAGCACAGTCAGAGAGTGACAGGAAAGTCTTCAGTCCACTGTAACAGAGGGTTAGTGAGGGCAATTGTACTTTTGTGAGGCAGGATGCTGCTAAAAGCAGTTTCCTTTAGAACCATGTTCTATTATGAATTTATTTTTAAATAAGTCCTTATTCTTTATGTTGTTAATTCCTACAAAGATCACCTGACTGGAGATGTTTATATCCTTAAATCTTATTTATAGAGTGACCTCTCCAACACTGATGATCATCTATCACTGTTCCCTTCATATATCACTATAGTTATTACCTTGTCAGCGTGGGGATGAATCCCTGGGTCAACTGGGGAAAGTAGGACAGGCAGAGGAAGCTTGTAAAATTCTCCCTCCCCTCATTAACTGCCACTGAGAGGGATGTACCCCTGAGTAAGTCTGGCCTTGTCTAAATACAGTTAACGTGAGTGTAAAAAGTTGTATGAGGCAGCATGTGTAAATATATGTGCAGGAACCGGACAGTTACTCTTCAGATGATGAGCACAAAAAGAGTGTTTGTTTCCCTTGATATTTTTTTTTTCCAGTACGGTTTCGTGGGGCACTGGTTCAGCCCCGGCAGACCCACAGTGGGAGCGCTGGATTTCGGCGGGGCATCCACCCAGATAACGTTCGCGACTCAGGAGGAAGTGGAGGACAAACAAGACATGATGAAGCTGCGTCTTTATGGCCAGGAGTACTCTCTGTACACACACAGCTTCCTGTGCTACGGGCAGGACCAGGTCCTCAAGAGACTGCTGGCTCACATAGCGCAGGTGACGCACTGTACACACACCCAGTGAAAAAACACATCCGTGTTATCCATGACAGATGTGAGCCCGTAGGTTTTCTATACCAAATAGGCTAAATGGTTGTTTTCAGGATATTGTGCCAAAGTTTAGTAAAGTGATTTGATCTCATGTGGAATGTGGAACAAGTTAAAGCAAGTGATGCGCCTCATACAGCAGATAGTGACACTTGTTTTCTCTGGTCATGATCCAGATGTTGTGTTAACCGTCAAAAGTTCAAGGTTCTTCACTTCACTTCTTCACTAGACCCAGGCTGACAGAAAATATAAAATTATAATAGCCCTTATGTGATACCATGCAGTTACACACAACTAATGAATAAATATGTAATGAAACAAATACATTAGTTTAAAGAAAAACAGAAGAAAATATGTTTTCTCCCAATTCTTCCTGCAAGAAATGTTTCAAATGCTGCATAGTAGTTATACATGAAGACAGTCTTTCATATATAACAGATAACAGAAATGAGTGGATCTTTTGAAAACATCGACACCATGGAGGATCGTTCTGAAGCATGAGGATGTAGTGCATTGTTTAGTAACATGCAGAACAAACTGCATAAAAATAATGTATGAAATATGTATGAAAGTTGCTGTTAATATACGAGCCCGACCCATACTGGGTTTTCAAGCTGATCCTGATGAAGACATTGAGATTTGAGAGTTTTGAAAGGATTCTCAATATCTCACAATATGTATTGCACACATCACATACTGTACAAACACAGCATAAACAAACGATTTTGATAAAGATCCCTCAAGTTTGTGTATTACAGTGTTGTGACCAATATATTTTCTGAGCAGGACATTTTACAGTTGAAAAATAAACCTGACAGCGCTCTCTGGTGGACAAAAGTATGTAATGCAACAGCACGCGATAATTTTAGCATCTATGATGAACTAACGTCTACCAGTAAAATTTTCATGACAAAGTTCATAATTATAGTGTAAATGTGCATTTTAGAAAATATAATGAATCATTTTAATAGTATTGTGGTGGGTTTGTTGTGTGTCCAGTCACTCTGCAATGGCTCTCATGTCTGTGTGTCTGTGTGTGTCTCTCTCAGTCTCAGGGTTATTCGGGGTCAGTGGATCACCCCTGCTATCCCGCAGGCCACAGCCGAACTTTAAAGTTCAGCAGTATATTCAACTCTCCGTGTACAGCGAAGTACAAACCCAGCTCCTACGACCCCCAGGCGTCTCTGACAGTACAGGGTGGCGGACATTACGAGCACTGTCTGGGCAACGTGTCCGAGATCTTCTCCTTTGACAGCTGTCCCTTCTCCCAGTGCTCCTTCGACAAAGTCTTTCAGCCAAATGTCAGCGGCAGCTACATGGTGAGAAAGGCTGGAGGAAGCGGATGACGCAGGGTGACTGTACACAGTCAGCGTTATGCGCTAAATGTCAGCCTGCACACAAGGGAAGCACATTCTGTTAGTGATGCTTGCAAAGTTATAATTTTTCACTGTTTTGGACTCTGTTGACACCACAGACAGCCATACTGTATTGTGTATGTCAAAGATAATGTACACTCACTGAGCACCATACTGATACTGGGTAGGGCCCTTTTTGCTCTCAGTTCAGCCTGTAGTCGAGTGCAAATTACAATTTTTTTCTGAAATGTAGTGGATAAATAAGTAGAACATCTCCTAAAAATTGAAATACTCAAGTAAAGCAAAGTACAGCACTTAGGTAAAAGAATAACTGGATGGATATATAGTGAGCTGATAAATGGATTTTTTTTGCCTTTATCATCTCCTCTTTCTGTGTTACCAGGCGTTCTCTGCATTCTTCTACATTCACTCCTTCCTGCAGCATATCACAAATATCACTGTGAGCACGCCCTCACAGCTGGAGGAGGCCGCCAGAGCTGTGTGCAGAATGAGTTTCAATGAGGTAGAGTTCTCCTCTGTTTGTGTTCTATTTGTTCATAACATCTCCCACTGGTGCATCCATGCATGTATGGAGTTTTCACATTTATCATACCTTTATTTATTGAAAGTTATTTAAATAGATTTACAATGGATTCATAGGTTTGAATGGCTTTAAAAAAACTTCTTTTTGATTTGCTTATGTGTGTTTCTATGATATTTCGTCCCAAAGTTTGACTTAAGATAAATTTCACATTTGAAGTTTCTGTTTCAAGACCACTTTAATATGAACACATCTCTTATTGATGTAAAAACGTAGCCACACTTGCAGTTCATATGAATACCATCATTCAAATTTCATTTAAATGTTGAAACATTTTAACACATTTCGTGGTTTTGTTCCAGATGTTGCTTGTTGCTCCAGAGCAAAAGGTTCGTTTGCAGGACTACTGTGCCTCCTCTGTGTTTGTCAAGGTTCTCATGTTGAGAGGATACGGCTTCGATGAAACATCCTTCTCACGCATTTCCTTCCAGAAGAAGGTGAGGACCTCACCATTTGAAAATAAAGACTGACTTTCCACTAGCTTGCAGTAATGTTTTGTTGCTGATCCTGCAGGCAGGGGACGCCTCGGTGGGCTGGGCTCTGGGCTACATGCTGAGTTTGAGCAACTTGCTGCCCGCAGAGACCGTGGGGCTGAGGAAGGCTCTGACCCCGGGCGCCTGGGGAACGCTCATCTTTCTCTTTGTCCTTCTCCTCACTACAGTCCTTGTCTTCATCTTATTCCGCACTTGTGGTGGGAAGAAGAAAGGAGGCAGTGAAAGCACCATCTAGATATCACAACAGCATACAGTAGTCAGAAAAGAAGCAGAGTTATGCATTTTTGTTTGTTTTTGGCTCTGTGCTCCGACACATTGGCTCTGAGATGAAACTATGAGAGCTGAATTTGTGCTCTAATTTAAGGGTGTTCACATTATAGAGGGTAAAAAGTGTAGGACCTGTAGCTCTTTTTATACATAGTCCCCCAATTTTAGGTTAATGCAGCAGACCAATCATCCTCATAGAAGCTGCACTGTATGTTCACTGACTGCAAATATAATATATGCAATATAATGACTTCCTCAAATTAAAGCTGAAGGTCAGCACTTTAATGTCAAACAATTTTTTCATTTCAAATCCAAACTGCTGGAGTACTGAGCCAACACGATGAAAAACGTGACCAAATATTGTCTGACTGCCCTGTAGGTTGAAGAACGTAGCACTCCTCTGGTCGCTTTGGCCATACAGGGGAGGTCTTTTCATTTTTATTAAGAAGTCAAACCAATGTTTGGTTGTATTTGGTTGTATTTTTCATTTTTCATTCATTTCATTGTTGTTTTTGTAGAAAGAGTGACTGTAGTCTGAAGCACTGTTACTGTGAACTAAAGCGCACTGTGGAGATAACTTTCAGTTTAGTATAAGGAATAACTATTTCTAAAGAAAGTTTTTGTATACAAAGATATTTTTCAGGTTCCAGTTTTTTTTCACATTTAAAACTGCCAAGCTTTGTGTGACGAGTTTAACAGAAAATAATAAATAGCCTACAAATGTGGTGAACAGCAGGTGTTTGCATATTATAAACATTTGTCGACAGAAACAAACTCCAGTCTCGTTTTTCATTGTGCAAGAAACCTACTGTATTTTGGTCGTTTCCACACAGCTGTACTTATATTTATTTCCTTCATTGGTCTGCTCTGGACTACAACTGCTATGATGCTTTGCTTTACAGACGTAACGCAAATCGTTCGGTTGACTTCCGGTATTGTCGAATTGCCTTCATAATAAAGGTAAAAGCGGGGTCGTTTTAAAGTAGGCGGCAGGTCTAATGAGATTTGCTATGTAATCGTCCTGCACACACAGTAAATGCACAGATCAGTACTTGGGGTCAGCAAAAAATAATTAAAATAATATATTATGGAAGAAATTGATTTTATTATTAATTTAAAAGTACAAAAAAATAGTCTATGTTTATTAGTTTGATTTATCAGTTCGTACAATGAAACAGTTGTGAAGCACATGATTAAATGACAAAGTGAGGGTCAATATGTCTGTTTGTCTTTTTGAAGGCCTGCATTTTTATTTCCAAAAAGTAAAAGGGGCTGGCTAAGGGGAACACAAAAGCCTCTGTTTAATATAAGCCTTTTATTTTGAAGGTTTTGACCGGTAGTGTTCATGTTATTGTTGCATGACGGAACAGGCGTGACAGTTGAGGAACCGCTCTCTCTCATGTGCATATGTTTCTTTATTTACATCTAGCTCACATTATAAACGACCTACCGAGGTGTTCAGGTTTCCCAAGAGACAGAAACAGAGTTTATTGAGAAAATACGGGCTTTTTGTTTGTTTCCGGTTTGCTGCTGTGGCTGCTGGGAAGTTTAGAGATGTGCACCCAGACGAAAGCTGCTGCTCTAATGGCCAACATACCGCAGGCAGACATCGACCCGTCAGGCGTGTTTAAGTACGTCCTGATACGAGTCCACAGCAGAGAGGAGGGAGACGACTCGGAGATAGATATAGTCCGAGGATACGGCTGGGCTGAGTACCACGGTGAGTCAGGAGCACTGAACCCAGAGGACCAACAGAGGTTCATCACCACAGAACATGAGACCTACACACTCCTTTACCAGTTCATTAGGTTCACTTAGCTACAGATGATGCAGTCTAATATAACGGCCCTGCAGTAAAACCGACGTTCAGCAAGGTTATTGTGGTCCGTTTTTATTGAATCTGTATAAGAAAGACGTGGACGCAACTTTATTGTCACTCGATGGGATCCGTAGATTGTTTGCTTTTGAATTGTATTATGTTATAGTGAGAGGTATTTCTAATATTCAGTCAGCCCTACTCTACGGATAAATTATATAGAAAACTCTGAAGATAATTTACATCTTCCTAAATAAACATATAGTCGAATCAGCATCTCAAACACTTTTGAGTGTTGTGCTTTGTGAGTTTAAGTTACAGGTTATGCCTTTAATAACAACACACTGTCATGGGTAGGTGTGGAAAAATGTAAAAGGAATATTTTGAGGAATTGGGCAGTTGCTCTGGTGTAGAGTTCTGCTGGTTGTTTCCAGTAAGAGGAAGCCAAAATATGACATTTGACATTAAATGACATTGTTGAAAATATGAAATTGTATGCAATAAACACCATCTTAGGAAAACAAATTGCAGAAACTTGAAAATGGAAGATTCCAAATGCCTAAATTCAATCAAACAAGTAAATAAAGTGAAATATAAAAGATATTGTGTATTTCCTTTTTATGTGTGCGTTAGAAATGAAAGTGTGTATTGGCTGATCTATGCTGCCTTCTGCTGGACAACACTGACATGCAATACACATCCTCACTACATATGGTACAAATAACTGTATTGTATATTCTAAGTGTATTCATTTCTTCCTGGGCACAGAACATGCAGGTTTGTCCAACAAGTCATCGTTCTCGTCATAAACACCAGATGGAGGCAGCACATCTACACAACAAGCAGCCATTTGTGATTATTAATAAACATATTCAATGGACAGTTGGCAACTCAAACACCCGTGGCTTCAGTCACAAGTTTATTACAAACAAATATTGTGCTTCAGCCAAAATCCATGTCACAGTTGTTAATTATGAAAATATGCAATTGATGCCAAAATTGTTGGTTCAGACTACTCCCCTATCATAACCCAAATTATAGATGCTGAACATACTGTGTTTTTTTTGTTGTTATAAATGATATTTAGAGGTGAAACATATCAGAAAACACGGTTTTAATGCATTGCTCACCTGTCTTGTACCTTTTCTTGTAGCTGATATCTATGACAAAGTTTCAGAGGAGCTGGAAAAAGACGGCCACCTGGACTGTGAGTGTATCGGAGGAGGGAGGATCAAACATGATGCCCAGGCCAAGAAGATCCACGTCTACGGATACTCCATGGTGAGAGAATCCTGCAGAAAAACCCTTAATCAATTAATTACCATAACTTTACATACAGTAATTGTCCCCAAAAAACAAAATTATGAACTAAAAGAGGCTAAAAGGTTTGTTAAATCTGGAGAGTTGTCTGACTACTATGAGTTATCACAGTTCAATTCAATGTAAATACAAAAATATTGATTTTTTTTTTTAGCTTAAATCAAATATTGTTTTCTCATTGTAACAAAACATTGATTTTGTACTATTTATTCCAGGGCTTTGGAAGAGCAAACCACGCAGTAACAACTGAGAAACTAAAGGCTCGGTATCCAGGCTACGACGTGACCTGGGACAATGAAGGGTACTGAACTGAGACCAGCCTCTGGTGGGCACTCTTTCTCCTGGACTGACATAGTACTTATCTGTAACCCCTCATGAGAAGGAAGAACATGACATTAAAAACCATGCAGAGTTCAACACGGAGCTTTTTGAAATCACACCAGTTCTCTTAGACTAAGACTGACACACAGCGACAAGCCTGATGAGCCTTTTCTGGGCTTATTCTGAAGTTACAATTTGAGTAAGTGAATGGTAAAAAAAAAAAAAAGTTGTTTTTCACATTTTTACTCTGTGTGTGTATAAAACAAATACATGCTAATCATAGTGAAACCAGACAAATAGGTTTAATTATAAAATAAATGAGTGGAGACATACACTTCCAGACTGACTTGTTTTAGAGTCGTATGTCTCAGGGTTGACCCAATCACCACAACATGTTGAAAAGTGAACCTTTGATGCTTTGTTGTGATGTGTGTTTCATAAATGTTTCCCTTTGATCTGCCTATAAGCTTCGTGCATACTGTGTTCCTACTGTTACTGTCCTGTTCCAGAACAGAAAAATTAAAACACTCCCCATTGTTCCTTATCACACCTGAGGCCAGCAGCAGCAGGACACAGGTGAGATAAGGAACTCAGCTATTGAGCTGTAAAATGCTGATTCATGTCTTGGCCTTAATTTAGTGATAAAAGCACCAGTACCAGTGTGGTTAAGTATTTTGATATGATCATACAGTATAGACTAATATAGAATAATAATCTGTGATTTATGTGAGTGGATACAAAATAAGCTCTAAATCTTGATAGTGAACCTGTATTAGCTGATTGTTGTTGGACCCTTGGGGGCCTCATAATGAGCTGTAAACACAACATTGTCATTGTTTTCACCTTACAAAGTTGTTGGAGAATATGTTAAGAAACCATTGCCAGCAGATGCGGAGCTGCATTAACATTCATTTGGAGTCATACCTCTAGCTTCCCGATAAATGTAGGTCCAATATTCACTCCTTTTAGGTCTAGTTTGAGCTCCACTGACTCCCACAAGAAATATGTCTCTTCCACTGCTAAAAGCTTCACTATGTTCCCCAGCTACTCAAACTCTGTCAGTTGTTTGCTGCTGGGCAGTTAGTGAACAGTTTCTTTAGCTGAGTTTTTTCTGAAACCAGGAATTAATGCCATTGGGAGGTAGGAAACATGAAACCATAAAACATAAACATAAAAAACATAAAACCAAAACAATTAGCTAAAAACACTGAAATGCTCTGTAGAGCTGAGGACATTTTACTTCAGCCTGCCTTACCTTTAGGAAAGTGAAAAATGTGCTGGCAAGCTAGTTACAGATATATCCAAAAATCAGTTGAGGTGCTTTTGTCATGTTTTCTGGAGCTAGGCTACCAGTTTCTGTCTGATCTGCCTTAATGCTACGCTAGGCTAAACACATATTTCCTCTTGACTGATCCCAAGAGATTATTTTGATCACACTGACCTCGTCATCTGAAACAGGATTTGAAAAAAAAACACGTGTAGTTAAATTTAATTCAGTTATTTATATGTGGTGTCGATAAGTTGTTCAGATGTTCATCTCCATCTTGACAAAAAGAACTGAAGAAGATGGCTGCAAATACACCATCACTGTCATAACTTCACATTAACACTAACACAGTATTCAGCTGATTAAAAAGGAGCTATACATAGTTGGTATCTTGTGTCACCTGTTAATAAACCACCGAAAATACACAAACAAGGTTAAACTAAAAAGGTTAACTTGTGTTTATCTGAAGACTAGGAACAGGTGTAACCGTGTTGGAATAATGTGTAAATGCTTGTAAGTGAGAATAGCAATTTCCAATTCTGCCAATATGGCATGAGACATCTAAAACACACACCTGCAGCTCCTCTGGTGAAGCTCAAAGTCAACGATCTCACACAATGATAATGTTACTTTTGTTTTTGTGTACGTGCACCACAGTTTGCATCTAAATTGCTCTGCACATCTGTTGCCAACTGTGTCCACTTCAGTTTATTGTGCAATACTCGGATGTGCACTGTGGAAAACTGTCATCTGGAGGAAATTGTTTTATGGTGTTGGGTTGCAGCTGCGTGCTGGGTGAATGTAAAGTTCAGCCGTTATCTCTCAGAGAGCGAGGGGAGGTCAGAGTCGACTGGTAAAGACTCTCCGGGTTGCGTTCAAACCTTCAGACTGATCTGGTGGAAGAAGAGGAAAAAAGATGTTACACTGGAGGAGCTCAGCCCTCATTCTGCTGCTGAGTCTGCACTGGGGTGAGAGCACATTCACTCCACACTCTACACATGTAGAAATAACTGCTGGCAGAATTTAGAAATAGAACATACACAACATAGTTTTGAAAAGTTACTTAAGGCTTCAGATTTCATGTCACAAAAATTAGACAAAAGCCTTGAGCCTTGGTCTTACCATATTTTTTTGGGAGCTTTCAACTATTTAAACTACTGTTTTCACTCTCAATAATCTACTCTCACGTTCAAGCCCCAAACAATAGAAAAATGGACAGTTTTTCTCTTGGTGCCGTTCAGTTTCACCTCAGTCACTGAGACGTGTGGCTGTAGCAGCTGTTGAGGTCATTGAGGTAATGTCCTGTCTTCTTTCTGAGGGTTTAAGCAGCCTGTTACATTCTCCTATTAAAACCTGCATGTGGGGGGCATATGAGCTGATTACAGTAAATATTGACTCACTATATACATTTAATGACATGTCAACCAGCGATACATAAGTTTATATACGAATGAATAACTGTTTCATGTTTTTGTATAAGCCTATTTCTCCACCATGAGAGTGTGGAGGACTTTAAAACGTGTGTGTCGACCTTTATGTTTAGAAATCAAAATGACAGAAAACCGAGAGCAAAAAAATAAATAAAAGAGAATCATATACAAACGTAATTATAGAATTACAGTACATGTGTAAAAAAATGAAAGCATATTACCAAAGCAATAATGATGATCCATTAGGAAATGGAAAGGGAAATATTTCAACTAATAACAAATCTGTGTTCGTCTTGTTTGGCTATGTCTTAATATGACAGGTCACTTGTCTCCTTGAACAAAGAAAATTTAGAAACAAAACAAAGAAGATTTAGAAACAAAACAAAGAAGATTTAGAAATAAAAAGATCAGATTATTGTTATTTAATTATTTTTCCTCACATTCACTTTTTATTCATATTAAAAAAGAAACAACTGAAACAAACTCACATTACAGCTACATGTATTATATCATGCTGTGCGTGTGTAACTGAACATTTTCGCACAGTGCAATGCATTGATGCAAGTTTTTCTGCTCGGTGTCATGTCTGGTTTCCAGCTGTCAGGTCACTGAAGCACAAAGTCTTGAGTCTTAATCATAGACCTTTGGATGGAGAGATATTGCTGGCATTAACCCCATTACTTCTCTCTGCCCTTTGAGCCTGTTGGCATTAGTTGGCCTGTAAATCGTTGCCAGTAATGAGTCCTGATAAGAGAGTTTGGAGCTGAGTCATCTGAGATTTTACACTGCCTTCAAGCAGAGGCAGATGGAAAATCTTGAAGTAAAAGTACTTGTACTGTTCTGATACTTGAAGTATTTCCATTTTGGGTGACTACAGCAGATACTTTTCCTCCACTTTCTTTGTTTGTTTTACATCTGTCTGATGTATGATACTGTCTATATTTGGATCTTAAAGTCAGAGCATTAGCTGAGATGAGGTTGATAGCTCATTCTTGACCTTGCATACAATAGTTGACAAAAAGTCTCCACTAAAGGTCCACTTACTTGTTTTTGACAGTATCACACAGTCTTCATCAGCAGATCGAATATGTTCAGTAATCACGGAAGTGAAGATGTTCGGACCTTTAGGACTACTCCTTAATGTTGGTTTAAATCTTCAGGTTGTCAGTTCACTCTTCACCTTGGAAACAGCAGTTAACAGCAATCCCCATTTACAGGTCCTCACTTGCTTTCAGCCTTATCACTCAGGCTTCATCAGCCGATGATGCTTCCATTTGTTCATTTTTGTTTTTTTTTATTTTAATATGGACCGTTCTGAGATTAGCCTTCAAAAAGCATGGGTGAAGAAAAGTGGTCAGAATAATGGAAACACTGAAAATAACATTTCCATGACAAGTTAGCAAACCTTCACCTGCTGACGAAGACTATGTGATATGATCAAAAACTTCCGAACATGTCAGCAAGTGGACCTTGAGTGAAAATTTTTTACAGTTTTACAAAATTAGATAAGTTGTTAATAGGGTCATGAAACTACTGTGCTGTAAAAATTTATGAAGTTGAAGGAGCAGTTGAGTTGAATCACTCACTTGATGCTTCAGTTATTAGTTTTAATATTCTGCATTAGTTTTTTTAAATTATTTTTTTGGGGCTTTTTATGCCTTTATTGACAGGACAGTAGAGAGACAGGAAATGGGGAGGCAGAGAGAGGGAGAATGACATGCAGCAAAGGGCCGTCCGATGCAGGACTCGAACCGGGGCCGACTGCAGCGAGGACCTTAGCCTCTGCATACGGGGCGGATGCTCAACCAACTGAGCCCCTCGACGCCCCATTCTGCATTAGTTTGAATAAAGTTGAAGAAGTAACACTGTCCTCTGATGTGTCGTCCCACCACATAGCTGCTGAGGCTCAGGCTCATATTTGCCAGGCTCCTGAAAAGAAGTGTGACTTTGTGTGTGACTGTACTGACTGCAGCGATGAGGAAAACTGTGGTAAGTATTAGAATGTTTTTCCTCTGAACTGATAGTATCTTATTCTCCTCTTTGCATACAGAGAGGACAGCATATCCACACCTGATCTATAGACCTTTTCAGTTTTTATATCTGATTTTAATTAAAATGTGTGAGTCATTCAAAAATGTGAAAATATTGCTTGTATTATTAGCAGAAGACATGGAAGTTCACTGAATATGATTAGTTATTAGTCTGTAGAAACCTTCCTTGTTTGGATCTGCATGCAGTATTTCACTAACACAGTGCAACAGCTAACTATTACTTCTTCTCCACCTCTCAAGGCTACAGAGGAAAAGGGTTCGAGTGCGACTTTGAGGATGCAGGACTGTGTGGATGGACTGACCAGTCCTTCACCTCAGCGTACAGCTGGCATAGACATCAGGGAGGAGACATGCGGTCCAACAGCGGGCCGTCCTCTGACTACACCACCGGCACAGCGATAGGTACAGTTTGATACTTACATCTTTTCTTTTTTGTCCTCATATAAGCCACAGGTGTCTCGTAGAGTATCAAGTGCTTTTGTTTGCTGTTGCATGTTATACAGTATCTCCTTCATACCAGTAGAGTGCATCAGTACAATGAGCAAAAAGGGTGTCACTTTACAATAAGACAACCCTTATAAAGGATTTCTAAATGGTTTATAATTAGGTTATTCATTTGGTTGTTAACATTTTATGAATCATACATAAACAATTATAAACAAGTTATAACACAGTTTCCATACATTGATGCAGGCTCTCTATTTGGCAAGATGGAGTTAATGCTTGCAACTCATTAATCTTACTAATGAGTTACTACCATTTATAACTATTACTATTAAGGGAGTCTTATTGTAAAGTGTTAAACCCATCCACATTTATTAATGAGTTACAATAAGGCTCCTCATGCTTATGATGGTAACAATGCACAGCAATGTTGTGACACATTTTACCTTGATCAAAAATAATTGCAGTGCAAGTTGCTGCAATTTGGATATTACACTTGGTCATATTGTGCAGCCCTATAAAAGATGATTTCCTATTTCATTCTATTCTTTCATTATAATAGTCATATTTTAGTAATCAGCTTCAGAGATAATTAAAGAGACTAAAACAGCAGTGAGATAATGCGTGTGTGTTTCTGTCCCAGTAATTACCTTTGAATTATGAATCAAAGCTGCTAAGTTGGGAACCAAACAGTGCTGAATATCACTGAATATAGTGCACAGAAATCCCAAACTCCAGTGTGGTAAAGGAATGGAGAAAGTATTTCGTACAAACAACAGTATTGTCAGATTTTCAGGTATATCTGCCTATGAGTTTTTGATTCTTTTATGCTTTACACAGCAGCAGCAGCAGCAGCAGCAGTATGCAGTAGGCTCCTAATGAAATCACCATGTAAACATGAAATGTGCTGATGAAGTGTGTAATTAACACGTCTTGGGCTGATTTTCACAGCCAGCTTCAACAGCCAGTAATTTCTCTGCAGCTGTGACTTCAGCCATAACCACAGTGATCTCTGTGCAGCAGTTACACTCACAGCAGAACCGTCATTTCACAGGAGGACGAGTGTTGAACAGGTTCAGCTCGTCTTCCTGTGATGTTAGATTGTAACACGTGGCAAAAAGAGAGTCTAGGGAGTATTAATGTTTATTATTGTTTAAAATCTGTCCTTTCTTAATTAAAAAATCAAATGATGGATTATGAAAAAGGAATAAATCTCCTATGCCAATGAAAACATATACTGAGATATTCCAAATGTAATTGTTTTCCGCAGTGTGAAACTAATAGCATGTTATGTGTGTTAGATGTGTTTTTGTGTTGTATACTGGCTATGTTTTCTTTTGCACATGTCGGTCTTGAAAAGTGTTTATGATCTTCCTGCTTATATAAAGGATGAACTGTAACTAACATAACTACAAAATCAAATACAGGTTGTGATGCAGCGTATATGTGTAAACTGAGTTGTGTAACTTATATGCACATTCACATTTTTGCTTTATTGTAAAATGTGCCATTAATATTATTTAAAATGCTGTGATCAGTGTTTTTATATTAACAGCTAATCAATTGTTGACACACAGTGTATTTGAAAGCTGTTGCCATGGTGACAAGCCCACAGACAGATATCAGACGACTCTGCAGTTCCCCTCAGCTCTATGGAGCTTTAGGTTTTACTTTAACTCATCGTTTGCTTTCAGTCTCACCAACTTTACTGCTCTGATTCAGTCCAGCAGCAGACAGCTGTTTTTTTTTTAAATTTTTTATTATTTTTTTTCTCAACAACAGCTCTAAAATGCCACTTTACACGCATCAGACACGGTTAGAGAGCAGCTGGTGAACATAGTGGAGCGTTCAGCAGCTAAAGAGCCAGATACGGCCCTCAGGAGCTGAGCTAAAAGCGAGCGAATACTGGACTTGCATTCATCAGGTAGACAGTAACAGGTGAATGCCAGAGTTGCTACATGCAAATAAGCAGTTGCTTGTAAAGTATTTTGCCCTATCAACAATTTAGTCTTGAGTTTAAAACTTGATTCAGCTCAAAACATTTGAGCAAAAGAGGCTGAAAAGCTCTGTAGAGCTGCAGAGTTGGTGATAAGTCTCTGGGTTCATCACTACAAGCCGCCACGTTCACATTAGAGGAAGTAGTTTTTAATCCTTTGTTAAAATGATAATTATGATAAGAGCAATGTTAAAACTGTCAATGCCAGAATACCTGAAAAAAATCATCATATACAGTGGTGGTAAGAAGAGATAAGACTGGATCAAACGGATGAACACCCTGGACTAAACCATGATGTGAATAACAGATATATAATATTGATATTTCCCATCACACAGGTTGGTTTATGGGAGTGAGCGCAGTGACGTCAGAGTCTCTCAATACTGCACTTTTAATCTCTCCGGAGATGAGACAGTCTTCACCAACCTGTCGTCTTCGTCTCAGATATTTCCTGTGGGACTCAGGTAACAACCGTTAATGACAGGTCTTACTTTTAATCACCTGTCCTGGAACAATGTTGAAGACAGGATTTCATTTTATTTTGGACAACTTTTACCAGCAGTATTTGCATGTATTTTTGGTTTTGGTTTTTTACATGTTTCTGTTTGTAATTTCTGTTTTTTTATTTCTGTAATTATTTCTCATATCTGATCATTGCTGTGGTATATCTTTGAACCCTTTTGTGTCGTTACCTGCAGGTCACACGGGTCTGGGCTCCACACCCTTGTGGGCATCGGTCCTTCAAAGGAATTCTCAAGAGGCCCTAGTGTGGCGTCCTGAGGCCACTAGTGTCCGTGGCTGGAGGGAAGCCACCATCTTCCTGGGCCGTATTGCCACAGCCTTCCAAGTCCATCTTTACTCACAGCGCTCCAAGGGGCAACAAGGAGATGTGGCCATTGACCAACTGGAGTTTTTAGACTGCGCGCTGCCTTGTGAGTCCCTCAAAATGTCCCCATTCATGTGCCGGCCCTGCCTTCTATAATAAATTAATCAGTCATTAAAATTGATCAATTAAAACTCCACAGCCGTGTTCATAATCATGATGACTGTTTTGATGTTATTGTATTTCCTCTCTTTACGTCATCAGTGCCACTCCCTGCCGAGTGTTCAGCTGGGATGCTGGAGTGCAGGCGCGAGGGCTGCGTGGAGCAGAGGCAGGTCTGTGACGGCAGCGACGACTGTGGCGACGGGACGGATGAGGAGAACTGCGGTGAGAAATCAAACATCACCTGAGTTGTTACAGCAGAAAGCCTCCACCTGGCACCGTTCAGTAAATGATAAACAGTAGAAATGCCTCACAAAACAAACTGACAAAAGACTCTGACAGTGTAAGACTTTAGTGTGCACAAGAGGCTCAGCCACATCAAACTGTTGAGGAGGAAGCTGGAAGAGGAACTCCTCCCTATGTAAATATGAAGGGTTCATTCTAAGCTAACGAAAACACATTATATTATTATACACTAATGAAAACATAATTATGAATATAGTGTTCCATTTCTGACGATACATCCCTTGTCCTTTAACTGAGCAGTGCTTGTTGTTCATCTGGTGGGGACGGTCTCAAAAACCCACCTCTGTTCCCACAACAGCTCCAAACGGGTATCGGCTCTGTGACTTTGAGGGAGGCCTGTGTGACTGGGACCTGAGGTCACTGTCACCACTGAAATGGGTGTGGACGAGTCAGCAGAAGCTCTCCATCACAGGTCCTCTGATAGGACCAGGCAGGGATCACTCCAACAACACTGCCTCAGGTACCAGGGCAGTTTTCTCATTGTTGAAACCGAGCTGTTGTTGTTTCATTCTTAATGTCTTCAGTGTTTCAGTGACTGTAAAATATCGTCAGTGCCTTTTTGTATTGAAAGCATATCGTTATTATTAATGCAGGTCACTTCCTATATGTGACTGCTCCTGATGGTGAGCTCACGGCTGACTGGGCCGCTTTCCAAAGTCCTCTCCTCGAACCCACCAACAGTTCACATCCTTGCAAGGTGAGTCCAAATCTTATTCTTCCTCCAGTTTCGCAGTAATATACTTACAGTCTGACAAATAGTTTGTGTTCGGTGATGTTTAGTTTTAATTTAGAAAAGATTTCTATTTCAAAGCCTAATGTGAAAGGTTTCCTCTGTCTGCCTGCTGTAGATGGTGATGTACACTCACCAGTTTGGGCCCAGATCCGGCGGTCTGACGGTGCTGGTTGCTGATCATAAGATCTACCCGGTGTGGGAGAGGGGCGGAGCCCTGGGCGACGTCTGGGTGAAGGCAGAGGTGGAGATTGTCACCGACTTCCCTTTCCAGGTGAGTACTTCTCCTCAGTTTATCTTCAGGATACTGATGCTGACTGGAGCCTACAGTACCACACCTTTGAAACTGAGATACTGACGTTGAAGATTCATAAATGAAGGTGAATAACAGGGAAATGATTAGACACGGGAACAGATAGTACTTTATTTATAATTTATATCACAAATGTAAACATGTGGATTTAATGTAAACAGTCAGACTACACATGTAAATTATCTCAAGCTTCTGGTAGTAGAGCCCCAACAATACTTTCTGAGGCTGATATATGACACATATGTTCCTATATCAAGAGTGATGTTGCCATATATCTGACCTACAAGGGGACATATTTTATATGGTATAACATGTTGCTACCATATATTTTAATAATATATATTTAATTTATATATGCAAGTTTATGAAAACAATATACATAGAAAAGTTCTACATGACTATATTATGTTTTTCTTATTCATTCCATTTTAAACATATTTAACTTCCACTTCTGGGAAAGCGGTCTCAGACTTTTGGACCCTGATATATATAATATCAACATGTATTAACAGTCTTTGAGATGGATATATATTTATGTAACATGTCTGTAATATAAGCATACATACATGAACATACATATTTGTATGGGCTAGATATATATGTCAATATATGACCTTCTAATCGGTTTCATATACAATTTTTACCTTTGTTTTTATTTTATATGTACACGCACACTAATACTTAAAAACCAGCTGTTTTCATCAGAGTCGAGCCACTGAGTGAAGTAGGCTGGTAACCACAGAATAAGCAACTGAGTATGATGAAGTGAAATGATAGAGAACAACTGCTCTCCTCACTGTATCCAGTTTTTATCTGACCAGACCAGCCAATCAGATATAAATAAAACTGTGATTATTTGAATGTGGTGCGTTTATGATTAAGGGGTCAAATGGACTTTGACCCCTTAATAAAGCAACTATCAGGAGGCTAACACACTAAACTACAGAGAAAATATGGAGGACAATGGTAAACAGTGTGGTATGAGGTTTTTTTTTTCATTTTGGGTGGCCTCACAGTGACAATGTTGTTAAACACAACAATCCATCTGTCTATGAGCTGGAAACACTGTGGCCACCATGGAAGACAAAAATCAAACATTTCAGCTCAACGTTTGGTGAGTGAAACATGTTGAACAATTTGTGCAATAGATTTAGTTTTTTGTTTCCATTTTTGGCACCATCGCTGCTCCCATTCATATCAATGAGAGCAGTAGATATTACAAACTGTCAGTATAACACAATACAGATCAACAACACCCCAAAAGTTAAATTAGCTCATCTCCAAAACAGTTTCGACCACAATGTTCACTGAGGTTATACCACTGTTTTAGATCAGCATTTCGTTGACTCAGTGTAGCTAATGAACTGGTGACTCAGGGTGTGTTGTTCATTAATACACAATACAGGCCACATTCAACTTCAATTACAACTCACATGTGTCAACACAATTTATTTAAAGCAGGTCACATGACTGAAGTTACTGTGTCTCAGGAGTAGATAGGGGAAAAGAAAGGGGGGGGGTGAGGGAGGGGAGGAGGGAGGGAGGAAGGGGAGGATGGGTTCCATTCAGGACATGGATTGCTTGAGGATGCGGTTCCTGGACATGCAGTAACCATCAATCTGCTCCGACAAGAGGCGGCTGCACTTCTCTCTGTCCATACAGCTCTCTGAGATTGCGAACCTCTGCCTTCTTCCTCGCCTGCCATCCTCATCCTGCTTCTTTCGAGTCCAGACTTCAGTCTCTTTGTGCAGCCAGTGCAGGGCCTTGGTGGATTTTGGTGTAGCTTGAGACCTGAGGCTCTTTCCTTCAGCCCTGGAGCTGCACGTGTGTCGTCTGCTCTCCACCAATTGTTGATCAGAGTTTTTCCTGACCTGTTCCTGGCTCTTCACCACAGAGGTCAGGCATTTGAGCTGGTGTTGTTTGCACATGCGAAGCTCCGCCTCCTCGCGCCTCTCTGCTGCGCCTTCTTCAGATCACTGATGGGTATCTGGCTCTCATGATGCGCTGCCCCTTCACCATCATGACCTTTTTCCACTGAAGCTCTCTGTTCTTCAGTTCTCCTGCTTTCCTTTCTCCACTCCTTTTGAGTATCTTCCTCCTCTCCTTTTTGGCTCCTCCTCCTCCTCTCCTCTTCACACTCTTTCCTTCTGCTTCTCACTCACTCTCAGCTTCTTTATCTCTTTCCTCCTTTTTCTCTCCTGCTCCTCTGAAGTCCTCCAGAGCAACTCTTCTTCTTCTCTCCATCTCCATCTCTCTCAGCTTTTAAAGCTCTCTCTCCTGAGATACCCCTTCTTTCTTCAGGGTCATTTTGCGAATGTTGTTGGCGATCTCTATCTCAGCGTGGAGTTCATGTAGTGGTCTTGCCATCTCTTCTAGTTCACTTGTGCAGCTTGATCTGTGTGTGTGTGTGTTTTGCAGAGGTGTTTGGTGAAGTGATGCCGGTAAGAAGAGTGGTGGAACCATGGAACAGTCATCAGTTATTACACAGATCCTTGATCCCTCACAGTTCTGCTTCTAGAATGATCCGTGTGGTCTGTTGATCTTCAATTGGGAATATTGTAACATGCTTCAGCCACTGTAAAAGCACTTTTTAAAACTCCTCCATCATTTAGCATCAGCATCAATAAAGTTGAGGCTGAGATATCCTGACTCTCAGTCCCTACATGGGTTAACCTCCAAAAAACACTGGATCCTAACATTTCCCACAACTCCCCACAACCTCATGAATTTGCCCTAGGGTAACAAATAAAGTATCTATTCTCTATCTATAGTGTCAAACACAGACTTTCTAGTTGCAAAGCTGTCACTACTATTTTCTCAGACTAGTCAAAAGCTCTTCCAGAGCCACAGAAATATTCAACAACTTCCACAGGCTGGAGTTGTACTCATCACTAAAGGAACTTGACTTTCACAGTCTCACACTCTTGCTTGTGGTTTTGAATTGAGTTTGTGACTTAAAAATTCAGTAATATGCTCTTTTCAATCATGCTGTGCCTGCTTTAGAATCCGTAATTGACTGGATGGTCAGTAAGTCGGTTAGTCAGTCCACCATTTTGGTTCACAATGAAATAGTTGACAAATATTCATTAGATTGCCATTACATTTTGTACATTCAAAGTCCCAAGAAGATGATTCCTAATGACTCTGATGATCTGGTGGCCTTTTCATCTAGTCCCACCTACAGGTTGACATTATTGATTTAGATTGAAATGTCTGGACACAGGCCCGCAGACTGCTTTGATCATTAAGAGATGTTGACTGGCCACTAACTGCCCGACTTAAAGACTGGTTACTGGGATCCTCTATGAATGTCTCTCGATGAGACCGCGTGTGTCTCATCAGAGTCAAGTCACTGATGTGAGGTGAAGTAGGCTGGTAACCAGAAATAAGCAACTGATAGTGATGAAGTGAAATACCCCCCCCCCATCCCCCACCCCCCGTGCGCCATGCCTAGAGCCGGGCCCGTGTACATATAAAATAAAAACAAAGGTTAAAAATTGTATATATGAAACCGATTTAGAAGGTCATATAATTGACATATATATCTAGGCCCATACCAAATATGTATGTTCATGTATGTATGCTCTATTATTACAGACGTGTTACATAAATATATATTCCATCTCAAGACTGTTAATACATGTTGATATTATATATATCAGGGTCCAAAAGTCTGAGAGCCGCTTTCCCAGAAGTGGAAGTTATAATATGTTTTAAAATGGAATGAATAAGAAAAACATAATAATGTCATGTAGAACTTTTCTATGTATATTGTTTTCATAAACTTGCATATATAAATTAAAAATATATATTATTAAAATATATGGTAGCAGAACATGTTATACCAATATAAAATATGTCCCTTGTAGGTCAGATATATGGCAACATCACTCTATTATAGGAACATATGTGTCATATATCAGCCTCAGAAAGTATTGTTGGGGCTCTACTGCAGAAGCTTGAGATAATTTTACATGTGTATCTGACTGTTTACATTAAAATCCACATGTTTACATTTGTGATATAAATTATAAATAAAGTACTATCTGTTCCCTGTGTCTAATAATTTCCCTGTTATTCACCTTCATTTATGAATCTTCAACGTCAGTATCTCAGTTTCAAAGGTGTGGTAGCTGTAGGCTCCAGTCAGCATCAGTATCCTGAAGATAACTGAGGAGAAGTACTCACTGGAAAGGGAAGTCGGTGACCAATCTCCACCTCTGCCTTCACCAGACGTCGCCCAGGGCTCGCGCCCTCTGTCCCTAGCGAGCCGGGTAGATCTTATGATCAGCAACCCAGCACCGTCAGACCGCCGGATCTGGGCCCAAACTGGTGAGTGTACATCACATCTACAGCAGGCAGGACAAGGACACCTTTTCCAGTGCAATTACTATCCTCTCAGTTTATCTCAGCTGCCATACTGATTGCTGACTGGAGCCTTACAGTACCACAACCTTTGAAACTGAACCGATTACTGACGTTGAAGATTCATAAAATGAAGGTGAATACCACAGCGGAAATTAATTAGACACCGGGGAAACAGATAGTGAGCGTTATTTATAATTTCTATATCACAAATGATAAACATACGCTGAGGATTTAATGTAAACAGTCAGAGCACAACATGCTAAATTAT